ATTCCTCCTATCCTTGGCAAAAATACAGACTGTCTTCACTGCTCAATTAGTGCTCTGTCTTGTTGCTGGTTCACAACTCTGGGAGGGGTAGAGGGCCCCGTGGGGACCTGTTTTGCAACATTCACATAAATGATCATGTAGCCCACAGCCAAGGATTCTGTTGTTTCCACAAAAAGCTACTATCAGGCCATCATCATTACATTAGGTTTCTTCCCCATAAATAAACTGGCAGAAAAACTGAAAAAATTCAGCACTTTGGTGGCCTGCACTTGTTTTGTGGAGGTTAGAAAGGTTAGCAGCAGTCTCAGTGTGTCTGGTTAAGAAACTCGTCAGGGGCTACTAGTGCAGCTTGAGTGATAGAACTCCTGGCTACCAACTGCTAAGGCTCTGAGTTCAAATCTCAGTAACTTCAAAAATAAAAAAGGAAACTTGTCAAGACAAGTATTTCTGGAGCTGCTGCTATATATTTTTTTTCTTCAACTCCTTAGTTTTCTTCTTTCCTTGGGTATTGAAGTTTTATTTTAAAATTAGAACTTCAGATCTTTAACTTTGGAGGGAATTTTATTAGGCACACTTTCCTGGTTCTTTGAGTAAAAGAATATTTATCAACGGTTTACTTAATTTTAAATGTAGAGAGGCCTTCTTAAAACTACACAATTAAGATCAGGAAATGTGTGTATCAAAGTAGCATCCCTGTTTGAAGGAAAGATGAGAGAGTACCTCATCACAGTGCTGAATTAGGCATTCCAAAGATGAGTAATTAGTAGTGCTGCCTTATTTGCTCGAAGTTTTAATTTACCTACAGTAGGATAAAGCCAATTATTGTTTATTAGGGGAACTTGATAGCTCAGTGTTTTTTATTGTCCTTACAATCCAGTTGGTTGCTTATGGTACAGCAAGTGACTGTCTTTGCTTTAAGAAAATCTCTGTCCTGATCCGTCTTGGTGGTACTAAAATCTCCAGATAGCTGAGGTCAGAGAGCTTCTTTCTAGGTGGGTGTGTCTTCTGTGTTCACTGCTCCGGGGCAGGAAAACCAGTGTGAAATTAGCCTGTTGGTGCTTGCCAATTTCTTGACTTCTTTGTGATAGGAGCACAGGCTTTGTCTTGTCTCCTCTTGGGTGTGTACTTTTTGTATGGTAGTGGAGTTAGAACAAGTTCATATTTAAAGCCGATTTCAGTGAGGTAACAATACTGTAGGATCCTGATGAGTTTACTTTGTCATTGTAAACTTGACATTTAATGCACAGTGTTCATTAGGATTTGAGGTGTGGGTACTGCTGAGAATTTAGGTTCAGTGTTTTGTTTTACAAAAAAAAAGTGGTTACAAGACTGAGATGGTCATGGCTGTTGCATGTGTATCAATAGCATAGCATAATCTTGTGAAATCTGTTATTCAGACTCTTACAGCTATCTTTGATTTATCTTTTTTTGTTGTTATTTTTGGTTTGGTTTTTTTTTTTGAGACAGGGTCTCACCACGTAGCCTAGGCTTACCTTGAATTCATCCTCCTGCCTCAGCCTCCAAAGTGGTGGCATTATCAACATATGCCATCACACCTGGCTGTGACTTGTCATTGTTTTGTGAGACAGGGTCTCTATGTGTAGCCCAATTTGGCCACAAACTCATGATCCTCCTGCCTCAGCCTCCAGAGTGGTAGGTATCATCATGCTTGGCTCATTAATATTTTAATTCAAGACATCTGATGATAAATAGATTCTATAAGTCTTAATTTCCTAATTTACACAATGCCTTGTAGGGTTGTTACAAGAATTATAAATGTATGTAAGGCACCTAAATTTCCTGACATAAAGTATGTTTCAGTATATGTTAGTTACAGTCATTGTCTTATGAGTAATTCAAATTAGGCCGCATGTTATATGATTCCTGCTTTAAAGGAGGCAGTAATTTCATATTTAAAACAATTTAAACATATATAAAGAGAAATAGTGGGTAGGCCTGTTCATGCACAGACGAATTCATTCCCTGAACATGGGAGGTTGGAAGGAAGAGAATAGTGTGGGCCAGAGTTCTCGACTCTGGAGGTGGGATGAGTGCAATCCTCGTGTAGATTGTCGCTCCCCAGTTTACCAAAAGAGGAGGTGTTCCCAGAAATAATGGGAGCAGCACTCCAAGGCACGTGCCATGGTTCAGATGGTGCCCAGCCTGTGGTGCTGTTGGAAAGTGGCAGGACCTTTTGGATATTGGACCCCCAGCCCCCTCCAGGCTGTCTTTGCTTCCTGGCCAGCATGAGGTGACCAGGCCTCCCTCGTGTGCTCATCAGGGTATAAATCTGATTTTCTGAAGCAGAGTATTATTATTGTTATTTTTGGTGGTACCGGGATTTGAACTCAGGGCTTTGAACTCAGGGCTTTGTGCTTGCTAGGCAGGTGCTCTACTACTTGAGCCATGCCCCCAGCTTTTTTTTTTTGCTTTAGTTATTTTTCTGATAGGATCTAGTGTGTTTGCCCGGGACCATCTGCGGATCCTGGTTCTACCTATGCCTCCCACATAGCTGGGATTCTACAGGTATACACAACACCCAGCTTATTTGTTGAGATGGAGTCTCACTGACTTTTTGCCCCAACTGGCCTTGAACTGCTGTATCCTGATATCTGCCTCCTGAGTTACTGGGATCATAGGCATGAGCCACTGCACCAAGGCAAAGTGTTTGTTATTGAAGGAACAATTGGAGTGTCACATTTTCTTGCAAAGCTGCAAGTACTTCATGTTACTTAGAAAGAAAGATAGCATCATTGGCTTCAGCTGAGTTGAGTTTTGTCATTGAGAAACATGCAAAGGAATTGTCTGTCACATTCTAGGAAGAACACCTGGACGCAGGGGACATGCTGTATCCCTCAGCTTGAATGATAAAAGTCCAGAGCTACACAAAGCTGCTGTGACAATTCTTGTATCTCCTGTGACTGTCACTGCAGCATCTTTAGGCTCTGGGCAGCAGGTTTTCTTTCTTGGTTTACAGCTGATGGCACCCTTGATTCAGTCATACTTAGCATGTAGCTCCCTACCTCTTGATGATGGCTTAGAACAGGCAATTGTTTATTTACTTACGATGGTATTGGGGTTTGAACTCGGGGCCTCATGACTGCTGGACACATGTTCTACCACTTTAGCCACTCCTCCAGCCCAGCGAGTTTTTTTTTTTTTTTTACAACAGGAAATTTGTTAATATACAAAGATCAAGGTCAAACTACAGTAGTAAAATGTTTGCATTGGTTTGCATTAAGTAGGTGTTCTCCTATTTCTTTGTCTTCTTGAATTCAGCTAGTGTTAGAGTGTGGGCTTGGAGTGAGGCAGGCTGGGTTCAAATCCCAGCCCCCCCTCTCACTAGCAGTACCTTGGCAGTTACTTCACCTCTCTGTGACTCAGTGACCTGTCAAATGAGCTTAATTCTGAGGCAAAGCACTTAGAATAGCATCTGGTTTGAAACAAGCAGCGAACATGAGCTCTTGTTTTTTCCTGGGGTGGTTTTCTGTGAATCATGTTGATTGGTGTACAGAGTAACTCCAGCTGAAGATGTGGCTATCTCTTCTATTGTTCCTTTAGTCCCAGCTTGGTATTAATATGCTACTCATTCCCCTCTCAGTTATTCCACCCTTTTTTGGGGTGTGTTGATTTGGGTCTTTTAGAAAATTGTGTATGATCGACACTCACACACTTTTAGTCCCCTTCTCACCCGCTTTTTGGGTAGTATTGGGGTCCAGCTTGCCAGGTAGGCGCTCTACCACTTGAGCACCCTTTTATATGGTAAAGTCAAATGGACTTGGTATTACTATGGGAAAAAAATTAATACCTTAATTTTTTAAAATTCACATGCTTATTTTTCATGTTTTGCCAAGACTAAATCTGTTCCTCACCCTCCCAGGGCACAGTCAGTGACTGGCTGTGACGAGACCTCTAGTGTCACACTGCTGGGCTCAGCAGGGTAGGCTTCCATTTCTGGCTTCTGACTGGAATGAGACGGCTGTGGAGGGACGGCTGAGTTATTTCTAGTTGTGTGACACTTACGGGGCACTGTTGGGCCCTCAGCTGTTGGAGACGTTGGGATACTGTTTCTGTTACAGCTGGCGGTAAATGGAGGTTGTCGCTCAGAGCTGTATTATAATTGAAGTTAATGGTGAAACATCAAGTGTGGAAGCAGGACCTTATTTTGCCATAGCCTTAGCAGTGGTTTAAGTTAGATTTCTTCTCCCTGACTTAATTTTCAACCGTTTTGTTGTCAATATTCGTCTAAAAGATCATTGTGTTTCAAGTTAGGCCAACCAGTGTTTAAATTGAGCTGTACTTGTCGAAAGGTTATTTTGTGTTAACTTTTGACAAAGCAGGATGAAAGGGTAGGTGAAGACTTTAAGGTTAACACAGGTCATACACTGACCTTATGTATCTGGAAGTTGACCAGTTAGGTTTTTCCATGATTCAGATTAAAGAAAAGGTTTATTCTTCTGGAATTAAACATTTTGTTAATAATTCAAAAAACCTCTACCTCTGGCTATAGTTCTGTTTAAGTAATCAACCTAAAGTTTTAAATATGTTGTTAGTGGTACCAATCATTTGTTAATTACATGATTGGAAACTTATTGTCAGTGAAAAATGACACACACAGATGGCATGTGGAGTAAGGCTTAAAATAGCTCAGTTTCCCACCCAGGCGTGTCCCGGGACTCGACTCTGTGGAGGACCTAATTATGCACTGCTTGCACACTCCCCATGTCCATTCCGAGGCTAAAACGTGCCTCTTAAGTGTTACCTAGATTTGCAGTTTTACTGTCTACTCATACTTTCAGAAGTGCCCAAAGTATTTTCCATGATTAAACATTAAAAAGAGTGATAATTTGGTATCTCAGAACACGTCTGTCAGTACTCTGTTAAATGGAGCTCGTCATCTTTACAGTAAAAACTGAAAGTCTCAGGCCTTTCTATCCAAGGTGTACCCTGCTTTACTTTCTGACTTACCTTTTTTCTCTCTCTTTCTCTCTCAAATATAGAGCTGCCAAATGCTGTTAAATCAACTGAGAGAAATCACAGGCATTCAGGACCCTTCCTTTCTTCACGAAGCTCTAAAGGTTGGTGTCCAAACCCCCCTAGCCAAGTCTTTAAACACAGTTGGCTGTCTCCTAGTTGTGTCAGTCAAAGGAGTCAAAGGAGGGTGCTGGAGGGACAGAGGCTCTACAGGCAAATGGTCCAGTTTATTAACATAAAGACTCGTAGTGGGGGACCCTCCCGGGTCAAGGACATTTAAGAATCATTTACCCAATTTCATTGTGTAGACCTTATATGGATCACAATTGAAGCCAGCAAACCACATAGAATTTAAGACAGGGAAGTTTGAACAAACTATTTGATAATTAAAAACTATTGTTACTCTTAAGGTATGAAAGGCTATTATTATTATTACGCTTAAGCATAATGGGTTATATTTAAAAAGTACATTCTGGAATATTGACCAATAAATGATAAGATGAGTAGGATTTGCTTCAGAATGTCTAGGAGAGGGTAGGCAGTGTAGATAAAACAAGATTGGCTATGATGATAATCATTAAGGCCAAGTGACATGAAGTTCAGTTATTTAGTGTACTTTTGTATATTTTCGGAGTTTTTCCTAATAAAAAGCTAAAGACAAATATATCACCACTACAAAGCGTGGTAACTCCTTACTTTTATTATAAAGGCTGCCATGGTTGCCAGCTCCCTTTTGTGACACATCAGGCCTTAACTATCTTGTGAAATCAGGTAGGAGTATGGAAAACAATGACAGCACAGGTCCAACACAGTTTTGGTTTTGTTTGCAAGTAGTGGGCATGGCGACTCACCCTATAATGAGGTGTTTGATGTACCTTCAAGTGTATCAGACTCACTGTCTTCCACCATACTTGGTTTTTTTTTTTTGGCAGTTCTGAGGTTTGAACTCAGGGCCTTGCCCTTGCTAGGCAGGTACTCTACCACTTGAGCTGTGCCCTCAGCCCTGTTGTACTTTAGTTATTTTCTGGACAGGGTCTTGTGTTTTTGCCTGGGGTGGGCCTCAGACCATGATCCTCTTTCCAATGCCTGCCTTCCCTGTAGCTAGGATCACAGTGCACGCCACCACACTCAGCTTATTGGTTGAAATGGGGGTCTTCCAACTTTTTTTGCCTGGACTGGCCTTGAACCTTAGTCCTTCTGATTGCCACCTCCTAAATAGCTGGGATTATAGGCATGAGCTGCCATACTGGGCCATACTTTTGTATTCTACTTCTACCCTGCAGTTAGGCTTAGACTTACTTAGTGTGTCATTGGGAAGTGAAGGAAGTATCACTAAAAAACAAATAAAAAACCCCAGACTAACTTGCTACCTATCCTAAATTCTATGATGCTTTCCTTTTGAGATTTCTGTTGTTTTTTTGTCACCTTAGGCCAGTAACGGTGACATCACTCAGGCTGTCAGCCTTCTCACTGATGAAAGAGTGAAGGAGCCCAGTCAAGACACTGTTGCTACAGAACCATCTGAAGTAGAGGGGAGTGCTGCCAACAAAGACGTGTTAGCAAGTAGGTCTCGCCTGTCCTGGTCCTTCTCTGAACCGGTAGAAAACAGCAGTGAGCAGCTGTGAGTCCCACCCATCACCTCAACCAATGAGGAGCTCACACTTAAGCATTACGTATCAGGCGCAATGCAAGTTTTTAAGTGTTCTTTCATTGTTTTCTTTGAGACACCATCTCACTAGGCAGCCAGGGTAGCCTAGAACTCTCCATCCTTCTATCCTTCTGCCTCTGCCTCCTTAGTATTGGGATTACAGGAGTATGCTGTCATGCCTGGCTCATTCATTCTTCAGCACCTATTCAGTGAGCACCAATAATGTGCCAAGCACTCTTGAATGTCTGCCTACATGTAGCTTAAATTTTATTGAGGGAGTTGAGCAAGTAAATAAAATATGTAGTATATTAGAACATGAAAATACCATAGAGAAAAATAAAAGGACAGAACGAAAGAAAATGCAAAAAAGAAGTGCTGGGGACTGCATTTCAAATAGGATGGGCCTTTGGAGAAGGTGCAAAGCACCTGACACCAAAGTGACCATTGGCTTTGCTTAAGGAGCCATGGGGAAGCCAGGGCTGAGACTTCCTGAGCCAGTGAGGAGGCAGTAAAACCATGGTGGGAACAGGAGGTGGGTTGTGCAGAGCCTTCCTAAGTGCTGGCTTTGACCACAAATTAAGTGCATAGCCATTGGAGAGTTGGGTGCAAAGGAACTGTGTAAACTGGTCTCCATTTCTAAAGACTTCTGACTGCTGTGCTGAGGATAAGATGGGGAAGAGTGTCATGAGGAGCATGGGGTGCTCAGGGAGCCCAGGGCTACTCGGGAGGCCATTGCAGACAATGGAGGCTTGGGCCAGGATGCAGGGTGGATGGGTGAGAACTGCTTGCATTCTGGCTGGATAGTACTTTCACATAAAGGCAGTAGGATTTGCTTATAGAAGAGAAGGCTGTGAAAGAAAGAGAGGAGTTAAAGGTGATTCCAAGATGAGAGTGATGTGAGCCTGTAATCCTAGCACTCGGAGACTGAGACAGGAAAATCTCAAGTTCCAGGCCAGTGTGGCTACGTATAGTAAGACACTGTCTCAAAAATGAAAAAAAAAAAGTGACTATAAAGGTATTTTTCCTAAGCATCTGCAAGGAGGGAGTTGTACTTACTTGAAAGGGAATGAGGTCATACTAAATCTGAGATGCCTCTTAAGGTGTTCAAGGGGAGTTGTGAGAAAGATAGTGGAGACCAGGCGCTGGTGGCTCATGCCTGTAGTCCTAGCTACTCAAGAGACAGAGATCAGGAGGATCACAGTTTGAAGCCAGCCTGGGCAAATAGTTCTTGAGACCCTGTCTCAAAAAACACCCAACCAAAAGAAGCTGGTGGAGTGGCTCAAGTGGTAGAGCACCTGCCTAGCAAGCATGAGAACCTGAGTTCAAACTCCAGTACCACTAAAAAAAACCCAAAAGGTAGCAGAGACCCAGTTGCATAGTTCAGGGGAGAGACACGGGGTGGAAAGAGGTAAACGTGGAAGCATGGTAGGGTAGTAATTCTGTGAGACTGATGTACCCAGGGAGCAGGGGCAGGAAGGAGAAGCAGTTCAGTGACTGACCTGTGTTGAGAAGTCTGGGGAGGTGACAGGTGTCCATGGAAACCAGGAGGGTGGTAGTCTGTAAGCCAAAGAGGCTTCTGGGAGGAAGGAACCACCAGCTGTGTCAGATGCTGTTAGTAGGTATTTGGGCTGTTAGCAGTTTTGTGCTATTCTGAATAGTGATGCCATGAATATTCTATGTGATTTTTTTAGTGTACATTGTGACTTTTTTAGTCATCAGTTTTCTTTTTGAGATCTACATGTTAAAGGTATAAATAACTGTTATTCATTTTCATTTGGTGTGTAGTATTTCACGGTCTAACTGTACCACAGTGTATATGTATTTGCCAGTTGGGATGTTTTGAACTTTTTGCTGTTTTAACAAAAACACTGAGTTGTTTGGGCTCATGTTTTTTGTACACGAATACAAGAGTTTCTTTAGTACATATACCTAGTGATATAGTTGGTAGATATTACAATATGCTTAACTTTAATTTTATAGGTAATGACAATATTTTCCAAAATGATTTTGTAGTTATTTATAGTCCCTCTGACAAAGTTTGAGATAACAGTAGTCCTCAAGCTTGTTATATCAAAGAGTAAACTGTTGGTCATCTTTTTTGAATGAAATGATATCTTGTTTCTAATTCGAGTAGTGAGATCTGGCACCTCTTTCCCTTTTGGCCATCCTGTTTCCTCTCCTGTGAAACTTTCCTTCATATTTTCTGCAAGCTTTTCTATATAATGGTTGCCTCTTTCTTAAAAATCCTTGCTACTAATTCTGGATGCGATCTTATTGATACCGACCTTATTCTTGTTATTTATTACTGATACTGATCTTATGCATTCTTGATATGAATCCATTTTTCTGGATGTGTGTTACAGATATCTTTTCCCTGTTGGTGCTTATGGTTTTACACTACACTGATTGATTAAGGAGCTAAATTTTGCTGCCATTTTGTGTATTATTAACTTTCTGTGGTTTGTGCTATTTGTTTAAGGTTGTGTTCTAAGCCAGGAAAAGTGGCACAGGGCTGTACTGTCAGCACTTGGGAAACTGAGGCAGGAGGATTGCGAGTTCCAAGCCAGTCTAGGATGTATAACAAGATCCTGTATCAAAGAATCAAATCCTTTGTTGTTCTGTATTCTGATGTTATAAGGGTACTCTCTGACTTTATTCTGAAATTATAATGCTCTGCTTTCGTATTTCAGGGTTTTTTTGTTTTTACCATGCTGGGAATTGAGCCTTGCACATGCAAGGAAAGTAAGTGCTGTTTCAGGGAGTCTTGGACTCAGGGCTTTGCACTTGCTAGGTAGGCGCTGTACTGCTCAGCTGTGCCCCAGCCCTGTGAGTCGGCTCTCACCTGTGCTGTAGGCTGGCCTGGAGCTCGCGATGCTCTGCTTTAGCCCTATGAGTGCCACCGTGCCCGGCTATTTTAAAGTTCAGAGGAACCTCCATGCTGTTCTTCTTAACAATTATACCTTAAGGGTGTGATTGTGCTTTTGACCAAAAATAAAAAAGTGAAACACGGAAAAAAAAATGGCCACTGATGTCAAGCATTTCTTCAGGTGCTTATTGATCATTGTGTATCTTCTTTGGAGAAATGTCTACTTAGATGAGAGGTGAGGTTGCTCATTTTTTACTTTTTCTTTTATTTATTTTGCAGTGCTGCAATCGAACCCCTGGCTTTGTACATACTAGGCACATGTTCCAGCACTGACTATACGCCTGAGCCCCATGCCCATTTTTAAAATAGGACTGTTTGCCTACTTCTGATTCATGTGCAGGAGTTCTGTGTATGTTCTATGTGTAGATGCCTTGTCAGATACACATTCGTTTTTGTCTTGCTCTGTGGGTTGTCTTTTCACTTTCTTGATGGCATCCTTTGAAGCCTAAAGGTTTCATTTTGATGATGTCAGATTTGTCTGCTTTTCCCTTTGGCTACTGAGCTTTGGATGCTGTTGCCTAAGCCATGGTCCTAAAGATTTGCACCGTGTCTTTTAGAAGTTTTACCTTTTACATTGATGGCTTCATCCACTTGAGTTCATTTTGCATGCAATGTTAGATAGGGTTCAACTTTATTCTTCTGCACTGGTGCCAGTTGTGCCAGTACCATTTGTTGAAAGGATATTCTTTCCCTGTTTAGTTGCCTTGATACTTGTGCTAAAAGTCAGGCAATCATTAATGTGAGGCTTTATTTATAGACTCAATTCTATTTCATAGATCTGTATGTTTCATAACACTATCTTGATTGCTGCTGGGTGGGTGTTTTTGCTTTTTTGTGTGTGTATGTGTGTGTGGTACTGGAGTTTGAACTCGGAGCTTCACACTCGATAGGCAGGTGCTCTACCACGCCTCTAGCCCTTTTTGCTTTAGTTATTTTTTCAGGTAGAGTCTTATGGGTTTTTTTTGTTCAGGCTGACCTGGACTGTGATCTTTTATTTACACCTCCCACGTAGCTGGGATGACAGATGCATGCCACCAGGCCCTGCTTATTGAATGAGGTGGGATTCTTGTTAACTAGGCTGGCCTTGAACTGCAGTCTTCCCAATCTCTGCCTCCCACATGGCTGGGATTACAGGCTGAGCTACTGTGCCTGGCATTGACATTGATCTTTTATCTAACCAGTTCTTATTAATTATAACTATTTTTGAAGACTTTTCCTTGTAGGTGATTATTACCTGTGAGTTACAGAAGCTTTGCTTCTTATTTTCCAATTATATGTATATATATACATGTGTATATATATATATATAAAATTTTCTCTTCAAACAGAATCTTGCTGTGAATCCCAGGCTGCCTAGAACTCTCCATCCTCTTGCCTAGCTTGAACTTGCTGAGCCATGGTAAATAAAAACAGTAAAGATAGACATCTTTATCTTAGTGTTGGTTTTAAAGGTTAGCATTTCACTGTTAAGTATAAAATGTGCTGTGGCTTTCTCAAGGATAGTCTCTCTCAGCCTAAGAATATTATTTTTTCTTTCTAGTTGCAATGGAATTGTTATCTGGAAAGGAGATTGTATGGTTATCAATGTTTTTTCTGTTTCCATTGAGGCGATCATTTTTTTAAGTATTAAGATAATTAAGTTTGCTGATGTTAACTTTTCTGTTCCTACAATGAACCTGACTTGATCTTAATGTATAATCTTTTTGTACATTATTAGATTATATTTGCTAACATTTTGTTTTGGTTTTTTTATATCCATGATCATGTGTGAGTTTGTCATTTTCCTTTCTGTTACTGTTCTCAACTGATTTTGGTATGGACGTACTGTTAGGAAAACGCCGCACACTGCACACAAAGGAGGCTCAGAGAGTTATCTCATGTCCAAAGTTTAATAAGCAGGCTGGCTGGCCGAGAGAAAATGGCGCAGCAGCTTCTCTCGGCCGGTCTGGTCTTAAGTAGCATTTGGGAGAAAGCAAGGGCAAGGGATGGTCTTTGATCTGCAAAGGATGAGACCAGCTGCAGGAGCAAGGTCTAGGGGCAGGCAAAGGGAGGTGGCGGGAGATAAGGAACAGTGGGCTTTGTTCTGCAAGGGGTGAAACCAGCTGCGGCTTAGGCTGCAGAAGGGGCAGTTCCCATCACATACCAGGTGTTATGTTGACGTCATACGTCCTACATTCTCTAAATACTTTGCATGAAGTTACATATCTGTGCCTTGAATGTATTGTATTAAGCTGATGTTTTACTGTGATAGAGTCTATCTCACCTATAGCTAGGGGATATATTTTTGAGTTTGTGGAGTGAGACGAGGATATTTGATTTGTTGCATTTTAGTAGCTCATTTCTGTACTCTTGGCTAGCGTACGGTTACAATGTAGCTGTGAGTTACTCATTTGACCATGGGACAGAGTAGGCAATTGTTCTTACACAGATGAACTATTGTGGTGAGAGCTAGGGAGTATATCTGATTTGGGGAATGTTTTTACCTTTTTTGTCTTATACTGCAGACAGAGAGGCAGCTTCCTGCATGTGGACTAATTACATTTCTGTTTATTTTGCAGAAGTGATAGACCTTACTCATGATAACAAAGATGATCTTCAGGCTGCCATTGCTCTGAGTCTCCTGGAGTCCCCCAAAATCCAAGCTGATGGAAGAGATCTTAACAGGTTATTCCTTTAATTTATAATCTTTGCCCCCACATTTGTGTGTATGTCAAAGGCAATAACAGCTCTGGGAATGCCCCACAAGGATAATTCTGCGAAGCTTCCTTAATGGCAACTGAATGAATTTTTTTTCTTCTTTTTTTTGGGGGGATAGGGTCCCACCATATAGCCCAGGCTGACCTTAACATCCCATGCAGGGATTGTAGGCATGAGCTACTGCGCCTGGCAGCACCTGAATGAAATTTCTTTTAGGAGAAGCTGTGTACCTTAGCCTGCTTTACTCTTTGGCTCACTTTTGAAAAGGAGGAGGGTCTTATCACAGCCTGCATCTTTGAGTAGAAGTTTTTTTGCAAAGGTTTATAGTTCATAATTGCTAGCAGATAAAACAGCCACTCAGTCCACACAGTCTCCTTATCAACTTTGGTTAGGTTGTTGGGTATTTTAATATTTTTACTTTATGTTTTCAAGACAAGGCCTTACTATGTTGAGGCTGACCTCAAACTAATGATCCTTCTGCCTCAGCCTTCCAAGTGCTGGATTACAGACATGTGCCACCACACCTGGCTATGGGTTGGGTATTTGTAAATGAAAATTATCAGTCAACGACACTATCTCAGGATACCGTTTCAATTGGTACTGATTTGGTGATGGTCTGGCACTGTCCACAGACATCTGTTTCCAATGCTAGTCTTTCATTTTCTGGACAGTTGTTTCTTTTGGGAACACACAAGGTGGGATATTACATGCTGAGCAATTTGGAGGCCCTTGGCTTTAGCTCAGTGTCTCTCTTGCCCTTTCAATGGCAGGCATTTAGATAGGATGCTGTGTTTGGAATCAAAACTTTTATATGGTAGCCTAAATGGTGTTGAGTCTCAATCCATTTCTATTGTGGGACCTTATTGGTAATAGTCTGTTACTGAAGGATTAAATTTCTGTTTAAGCCTAGCTTTTCATTTACATTATGCTCTTGTAGCTACTATACAGCCAGTGATTACTCAGTTAATGGTTTTATGGCATTTTGATTATCTGTGACAAGTTATCACATATTATCTTCCATGTTGTATATGTTCTTTAACTACTTTGTTATTTGATGTGTGGTATGTTCATGTGACACAGGATGCACGAGGCAACCACTGCAGAAACTAAACGCTCAAAAAGAAAACGCTGTGAAGTCTGGGGAGAGAACCCCAATCCCAATGACTGGAGGAGAGTTGATGGCTGGCCAGTTGGGCTGAAAAATGTTGGCAATACATGTTGGTTCAGTGCTGTTATTCAGGTATGACATTTTTAAGAGACCATGGTCTTCAAATAATTTTTCAGTTTATTAAACCAAAATGTGAGAAACATAACTTTAACAAAAGTTAAAAGTTATATAAAACTGTGTAGTCTTCCTTTCCTTGAGCATTGCTTTCATGTGTTTTGGATTTCTGTGCTCTGATGTCTAAACTGTGCAGTACCGACAATGAAATCTGCATTTGCAAAATCTGTTGAATAAGTGTTTGGAGTTAGCAGTGTGTGCGGTTGAAGGAAGCCCGGAGTGGAGGGGAGGCAGACATCCTGGAAGGAGGGGGTAAAGCACACTTGAGGTGTTGAGACAAATCTGTAGGCTTTGGTGAATGATGTATGCAAGAGAGGGTTAAGAAAGACTCCAAGGTTTCTAACTCGAGTGACCAGGTAGATTATAGTGCCACTGGACAAGAGAGGAGGAATAATGGGTGTGTGTGTGGACTTTTGTTCTGTTGTAGATATCTTGAGTTTGAGGCCTTGTGTACCACATCCACAGGGAGATACCTAGTACACAGTTAGCCATACACATGTCTAGTTCACAAGAGACGTGGGTTGCAGATCCAGTATTGGGGATCGGTACCACAAGGTGGTAGTAAGCTGAGGGGTAGATGGATTCACCTAGAGAGTAAGGCTAATCAGCAACATCTTCCAAGCATTGTAAACAGCCTCAGTGCCTGCAGTCTCCTCTGCCAGGGTTTGTGGCATCTACCCAGCTGCTCAAGCCAAATTGTTGAGCTTACTATGTGCTTGGCCCTGGTTTAGGCACTTTGGAAACAGCAGTTAATGAAACATAGTCCTGACTCTCTGGAATTTACTTTGAAAGAATGGGACAGTCAGTAAACAAAACATGAATCTGGTAGTGGTTATGTGCCATAAAGACACATTAATCAGGGTAAGGGCACACTGGAAATGGTTCAGCTAGAGGGAAAGGGGTACTGTTTGTGTGGTCAGGGATGGCTTTTCTTACAAGGTGGGCATTTGAGCACAGGCCTGAAGATGAAGGGGAATGAACCATATAATTACTTAAAGAACATTTTAGATGGAGGGAATAACAAGTAAAACAAACCAGGTTTAGGACTTAGTGTAAGAAATCCCAAGACAACTAGAAGTGGCTGATCAAAAATGGAGTGTGATGGGATCTGAAAGGTGACTGAGGTGGGGGAAGGGACCTTGGAGTCAAGGTGTGGACTTGGGAATTGTGTATGAAATATGGAAGTACCAGAAGATTTGGAGCAAAAACCTGATAGGAGCCTAGTTCCATTTTTAGAATATCACTTGTAGGCTAGAGGTGTGGCTCAAGTGGTAGGAGTGCTTTCTAGCATTTACAGGGCCCTGAGTTCAGTCCTTAGTACAGGGGGAGAAGGGTGAGGGGAGATCACTGTTACCTCTATTGAAAATAGGATATAAGACGATAATGTGGAATTAAGAACATCAGCTAATGCTTTCCTGTATCCGTCCTTCTATAGCTATCTATCTGTCTGTCCATCTATCTATGGAGAGAGAGACAGAGATAGACAGACACTCACCTATGTTTTTACATTCCTCTCAGTCTTCACTCCTGTGAGAGATGTTGAACAATCTAATATTTTTCTTCTATGAATTGACTTTCAGTTATTTTTTTGAGAGAATAAGGAAATGACAGAGTTTAAAATAGTTGGAGATTGTGGGAAAACCAGTTGGCACCAGAATACAATACAGATTGAGTATTTCTAATATTCATTAATTTGAAATCCTTGATCCAAAATCCAAAACTTTTTGAGTATTTCAGAAATTGAATTAGGGATGCTCACTGGTAAGGTCATTGCAAATATTCCAAAACCCAAAAAACTCTGTAGTCTAAAACACATCCTGACCCTAAACATTTCAGATAAGTGAATTTACTCTAGTGTGATTTCTAGAAATTTGAGACTGCTTAATACTTAAATGTACAGTGATAGCATTATGCCCTATTGTTTTAAATCAGGATCAGCATTTTAAGCTCTTATTTACTTTTTTTTTTTTTTTTTTTGGAGCTACTGGGACTTGAACTTAGGGCTTCATGCTTTCTAGGTATGCATTCTACCACTTGAGCTAATCTGCTAGCCCTACGTTTTAAGTACTTAAGTGGAAAATTCAATTCATTAGGTTGGAGGGTTTACTGGGAACATGATGAAAAGGACAAGGGCAAGTCTGAGAATTTAAGGAGGGCAGTTAAAGACCATGGGACCTGTTAACTGAGTGGCTCAAGTAGAGCGCCTGTCAAGCAAGCATGAGGCCCTGAGTTCAGACCCTGGTGACCAAAATAAAAGACTATGGGATCAAAGCTAGATATAGGAAGAATCTTAATGGCTAAGGAGCAAGGAAAGAGGTGTTTGTGTGGTTCCCTATGGAATGCACAGAAGAGGTTCTTGTGAGCAATTGAATAAATAATTTGGAAGCTGTGTTACGGTCCAGGAGTAAGTGGGGTTTTCTGAGTGTGTGATCTGAGCACCATGTGTTTTTTGGTGTTGGTGTATCCTGGCTGTCACCTTGGATGTTAGAGTCTAGCTGGAGAAATGTGTCACTAGATGCTCAGGAAACCTAGAGGTCTTTGGGTTGGATACATGTACATGAGTTTCCCCTACAAATACCCAAATACCTACTGTGTGTCTAGTACTGTTACAGGTTTTCAAGATCTAGCATAAACAAAACAAAGACACCCTATGCCCTTATGAAATTTAAGTTTTTTGAGGTGAGATGGACAAAGAACAATAAACTAAAGACTAATTGAATGATTAGCTAAATAAATGTATAGGACAGGTTATATATTAAAAAAAAATGTGTAGGACAGCTTAGCCTGTGATTTGGCCAACAGAAAAAGAGCAGGATAAGGGAGACCAAATTGTTCTAGGAGAGATGGGAGCAGGGTGCAGTATTAACTGTGATGTTAGGAAGATGTTACCAAGGGTGTAAAAGAGTCAATGCGAGATACACAGGAGGTGACAGAACCATGTGAGATGTGGAGAAGAACTTTCCAGAAAAGGGAACCCACAGAGCAACTTGGTGTATTCACAGAACATCCAGGCATCCCAAGAGTCCAGATGCTAAGAGCAAAGGGAAAAGTCACTGGAGGTTCCAGGGGAGATGGTGAGTCACAGAAGGTCAAGAGTTGTGAACTCTGACTCAAGCATTAAAAGACATACTCTGGCTACTGTGGAGGGAGCAGAGCAAACAGGCAGGGATGCAAAGGCAGAGCCCTGTTGGGTTAATACTGAGGGGTGATGGTGTCTTAGACCAGGCTGGTAGCTGTAGAAGTAGAGATACATTCTGAAAGCAGGGTTTTAGATGTCCACATGGATTGGATGTTGATGGATGCCACCTTAGAAGATGGCAGGACATGGAGTAGTAAGGAGAACTGTTGGCAGATGATAGTCTTAGAGAGTCAGGAGCTTAATTATGGTTTTCTGAGACAGGTAGTCAGAAGAATCTGTGGCAAGTGAGTTGGTGGAGGGGAAGTTGTGAAGACAGGGAGACCAGGCATAGTGATCCAGGGGAACAGTGATCGGCAGTGGGGCAGTGATAGGGTTTGATCAGAGCAGTTGATGGGGAGCTGATAGAGAGGAGGTGGTTATAAAATAGCACTCAGTGGTGGAGTCCAAGGATCTTGGGGTTTATTGGATGTGAATGCTTAGGAGAAGAAAAGAACTCAGAGGTGATTCTGACCCTCTAAACTGTGACTAGAGGAGGAGGAGGAGGAGGAGGAAATTCATTCAGAGAACACAGGGGAAGCAACCAGTGCTGGAGAAAGAACCATATTGATAGTGGGTCACATTAGCTTGCAGTTTTATGGTTTTTAAAAATTATGGCATCTTTGGGGAAAGCCAGCTTTGGTGAAGGTGAAGAGGTCAAGTGAGATGATTGAGAATGCAAAGCCATTTTCCTCGTATAGAACAGAAACTCCTCTGGAGGGTTGTAGTGCCGCCTGCAGAGCAGGAATGGAGATATGCTGCACAGACCCACGAGGTGGGAAGAGAAGAGAAGAGCATGGCTGAGACCAGGGCCAAGGAGCTAGTCTAGTCCCAGGTAGAACTGTCAGGTAGCAGCATGGGTCCAAGTGTAGCTAACCCTTTTGGCTGGCTAAGAGGCAGGATACCAGAGAGTGGCTTGTGGGCTCCAGTCAGTTTCTATCACTTTGGTTCTCTGACATTAGGAAGTATACCTGGGTTTTTTAAATACCAAGAAATTATTTTACTTTGTTCTGATTCTGTCTACTAGAATGTTCCTTCAAGAGTTCTAGTATGTGGGCTGCATTTGATGTGTATGGTAGGATGAGGAGTTACATTCACACAAAGAACTTATTTTTAAAAATAAATAAAAAGGTAGTAGAACAATAATAAAGAGAATGAATTCCTCTCCTCACTTCTGTCAGCCAGAGATATCTGCTCTTAAACTATTTAAAATATAATATGCCAGATGTGGTGGAATGCATCTATAATCCAGCACTTGTGAGGTTGAGGCAGGAGGATCCTGAGTTTGAGGCCAGCCTGGGCTCTGTCTCCAGCAACCCCCCCACAAAAAAAAAAAAAAAATTACATCATAACATATGTATGATATGCTCCCCACCCAGCTTAAGAAAAGAATGTTACAAATCCCTGTGCTGTTGAGTCCTGATTGTCACATCCTGCCTTTCCCAAAGACATAACCACATGTATGCAGCCCCAAACAATATATGGTATTCATTTATATTCTGTTAAAATTAATATAAATATTATTATACCTTTTCTGTAACTCTCACACAAAATATTTTTCTGAGATTTATTCATGGTGCTACACATAGTTCTTGTTACTCATTTTCACTGTTGGCACACCATTTTATGAAAACATTTTCTACAGTATCACTTTAATGACTGCAAAATTGTCTTTTATATAAATGTAGTATAGTTTATTTCATCTATTCTTTTTTTAAGCCTTATGTTGCTCTGTTACCTAAGAGGACTAGCATTAGTTTTTGTGTATAGCCATTATTATTTCCTTAGAAATAATAGAAGTAGAATTGCTAGGTTGACAGTTATATGCACTATTAAATATGAAAGAAAATATTTAAAGTGAAAGAACTTTTTTGCCTACAGTTATTTTGAAAGAAAGGCTATGAATTCATTTCTTTCTTTCTTTTAGTCTCTCTTTCAGTTGCCTGAATTTCGAAGACTTGTTCTCAGCTATAGTCTGCCACAAAATGTACTTGAAAATTGTCACAGCCACACGGTAAGTGGGTGCTGAGGAATTTCTTCCTTTCTTTCTTTCTAGTTTTTCTTCTTTTCTTTCTTTCTGTTTTTCTTCTTTTCTTTGTTTCTTTCTTGCTTGCTTACTAGCTTGTTTTCTTTTTTCTTTCATCAGGGCTTGAACTCAGGGCCTACACCTTGAGTCACTCCTCCAGCCCTTTTGTGTTGGGTACTTTCAAGATAGGGTCTTGCAAACTATTTGCCTGGGCTGGCTTGAACTGTGATCCTCCTGTTCTTTGCTTCCTGAGTAGCTAGGATTATGTGAGCCACCGTCACCTGGACTGAGGAATTTCTTTATTGTTGTTTGATTCCTTTCATCTCAAAACCTTTTAAATTTTTGACTGAAGATGATAACCTTCATGCTCTTTGGCTTGTACTAGTATTTCTTTTTTCCATTTCTAAGTCATTCTTTTTCCTTCCTTATGAACAAGAAGTATGTAAAAATAATTAGGAGTAAAATTAGAAAAACAGTTCCAAGAAAGTGTGTTTGAACCACCCTGCCAGCCTTGGCAGTGCTGGCTTGGGTGGGAGCATTGAGGAGCTCTGTTCTGTGTGTGACATCTTTCTGTCTGCTGTTGGCTACTCAGGATAAGGATGCAGAGGAGATGACCCCATGCAGAGATTCCATTCTGCCTTTGCCATAGGACAGAGCCTCCTCCCAGCGATCTAACCCTTTCCTGGACTTCACATTAGTGTAATATATTCTTCTAGCAGAAGGGAGGGCAGCAGCTTCAGAAAATGGACAACAGTATTATCTCTTTGGCTTCAACCTACTTTCTTTTCCTGTGGAGTAGCCTCCCATACAGTCTTTATCCTGTGCTGTAGTTTGAGGCCTGACTTTGACCTTGATATAGGTGGATATGAATTAGAGAGTAGATATTGACAACTTTTCTGTTTATATGGTCTAATTTTACAAATTAATTGTTGTAAGAGTATGCATGCCATGTTTTCTATAGGAAAAGAGAAATATCGTGTTTATGCAAGAGCTTCAGTATTTGTTTGCTCTGATGATGGGATCAAATAGAAAATTCGTAGACCCTTCTGCAGCCCTGGATCTGTTAAAGGGAGCATTCCGGTCATCGGAGGAACAGCAGGTATAAGAAGATTCATTCTCTTGTTTTTCATCTAACTCTTGAGTTTGAAGTCACTCCTTATTAATGTTACTGTGATACTGCTTATTTCAACTGTGCAATAAGTTGTGCAAATGATTAAGCGGGACTGTGAGTGCTGCTGGCTTTTGCCCTTTCTTTTGCTTTCAGAGTAGGTGGTGGAAGAGAGGGGGTCACATGTGCGTGAGATGAGGGAGGGAGGAAAAGAGGAAGGGAGGGAGAGAAAGAGAGAGAGAAAGAAATGGATAGTTATGCAGGAGGCTGGCAGTTCTAAAGGGAGGAAGAAATAGTAGACTTATAACAGTGGATGTTGAAGCAGGAAGGAGATTGCCATAGCAGTGAGTCTCCAAGAAAAGTAAAGACCTTTATCTGCACCTTTGTTTTGTGATGGCCCAGACAGAATCTTTTTTATTTTTGTGATTCTGGGGTTTGAACTTGGGGTCTACACTTTGAACCACTCTACCTTTTCTATGAAGGATTTTTTTTCCAAGATAGAGTCTCTTGAACTGTTTGCCTGGACTGGCTTTGAACCGAGATCCTCCTGATCTCTGCCTCCTGTGTAGCTAGGATTACAGATGTGAACCACCAGCACCCAGCTAGAATCTTATTTTTAAAACCACCTAAACCTGAGTTTAGTAGCTCTTCTGAGCATTCTTTTTCTTTTTGACATTAATGCTTTTCTTGTGCTACCTGCTACTGAAAACCAAAGCTGTCTCTGTTGGTCAGCTTCTGCCTCCGATGAAGTTTTGATTCTTTTCTCCTCTAAAGGTCTGACAGCTCTCCTGTGTTCCCAGTACATTTTATGAAAGTCTACTTTCTCCACTTAGCTATCTCTTTGGCCTAGAGGATTGTGGCCTGTTCTTACGCCCTTTTAAAAAAGACCTAATAGGAATTTTTTTTTTTTCTCTGTCACAAATAGATGTGGCTGGGAGTGCTGAAGTTAGAGTTTCCTCAGTCATGGTGCCTAATGCACCTTCTATTTTGTTTCTGGTAGCTGGATCCTACGTCTTCATCATCTTGCCCCTAAGAAAGAAATGCTTTCATGGGAGTAGAGTCTTAATTCAGTGGTGGGGTTAAGGACAAACTTTGATTTTTTTGGATATAGCATTGTACCTAACTTAATGCAATTTGTGCCTCTCTTATAGCAAGATGTGAGTGAATTCACACATAAGCTCCTGGATTGGCTGGAGGATGCATTCCAGCTAGCTGTTAATGTTAAGTAAGTGTTGAGGGTTTATCTGTACATCCTTCCGACTCACAGTGGCCACTGAGAATCTTCTGCAGTAGAAATTGATGGTCACCTCACGATGACCACTGAGCTGTTCTTTTTTGTGGATCCCCGTTGCTTTGGCCTCCCACTCTGCAGATATACAATCCCTTTAACCTACAGCTTTTTTACTAAAAGGGTCTTAACTGTTAACTTTATTAAGTCATGTCTGTGCTGTAAAATGCATCTGAAAACAGGTAGATCAATCATAAATGTGACCATGGATGCATTCAGTTTGACAAGGATCATGTCAGGAGTCTACCTGAACACACGGGGCATGGATGATAGTTATTTTAGTTATGGACAGAGGTGACGGGCAGGACCAGTACTACATGTGTCCTGCACCTGATGTAGACGCTAAGAAATTTGTCTTCTAAATAGTGTTAACTTTGAGTTCAAGAGTTAAATATTGTAAATGGCTTTGCCAATAGCAGCTTACATAGTTAATAACAATTTAAGATGTTCTTACAGAAAAAAACTTTTGATTCTGTTTCTGTTGTGCCAATGAGAAAACTTTTTTGTATTTATTTGTAAAACTACAAATAAATTCTTACTCTTCTTACTTCTGTACCTTACATGTATATATCATAAGATATAGATGTATACATTAAATGCATACACATACATGTCTTTGTCTTCATGTGTGACTTTCTGCACAGACTGTAAGCTCCCAAGGCCAGGAAGCATGCCTTCTCTCTTTGTGTCTTCAGCACAATGCCAGGCAGACACTTGTCTAAGAAATGCTTGAGCTGAACTATTACCTATTTTAGACTATTCCTGACTCTTTTTGGTTGATATAAATGTACTATTTTTGGTTTGAATGGTACTTGGGTTTTCTCCTGTACCACATATTTGATCCAAATGATACTGAATTGTCCTCCCCCCTCCCCCCCCCCCTTTTTTTTTTTAAATAGCAGCAATCCCAGGAACAAATCTGAAAATCCCATGGTGCAGCTATTCTACGGTACTTTCCTGACTGAAGGGGTTCGCGAAGGTAAATTCTAGTCCCAAATGTTAATTCTAGACCTGTGGCCATATCTTTGTCCCTCTGTCCTTTTAGGAAGGCAGTGAAATAGTAGACCTAGAGAGTCAGTCTGACATACTGGGTCTGAGTACTGGTTCTGCTTTTAAGGATCTGTTTGGACAAACTATGAGAATCCTGGTTTTTAGTCTTCCCCTGTAAAATGGGCGCAGACTTTATTTTAGAGTTGTTATATATCATTTGCACAGCCCAGATCTTACAATAACGCCATTGATCTAGCAGTGATGTTACTCTGTTTTCTCTGTTGCCTTTTCTGATTTAATGTCTAGTCTTAAAAGATTTTATTGAGTTAAACTGCCATGCTTGTCTACTTTTGAGGCTTATCTAAGCTTTGTGCTGGACACATAATTTTTATTTTAACTGTGGAGAGTTTTGAACATATAGAAATAGAGCAGTATTAAAACCTCCACAAACCCATCAACTATCCATGCACAGCCAGCTATTCCCCCCATCTAATCCCTGTCTACTTTGTACCCCTGGTATTCTTTTTATCGATGTTTAATCTTTATTACTTATTTACATTTGGAAGTAGGGATTGAACCTAGAACCTCCAGAGCCTCATGCTTGCTAAGCACATGCTCCACCACTGAGCAGCACCCCCAGCTATTGATATCTTTTTACAACGTAATCTGCTACTACTACTTCCCCATAAAGCACCATTTTAATGTTAGATAAGTTAGTTTTCATGCTTTGACTGGTTCCTTTGTCTTTTAAGTCTCTTCAATATCTGTAGGCTCTACCTCCATCTTTTCCTCCTTGAAATACATTCTGTGTGGGTGTGTGTGGTTGTGTTTGAACTCAGGACCTTGCACTTGCCTAGGCAGGTGCTCTTCTACTTGAGTCATACTCACAGCTCTGAAGTACATTTTTTGAAGGTACTAATGTGTTTGTAGTATTCCACAGAGCCTGAAATTTTACTGCTTTCACTCTCATGATCCATATTTATCATGGTCCTCTCTGTTCCTCTTCTTATTAATTGGTGGTTAGATATGGAGGCTTGACCTGATTCTAGTAAGGCAAGAGCAGTTTAAGGGTAGGGGAAAGTCTTTGATCAGGAGGCACGTAATGTCTGGTTGTCTTTCTTTTTGCAATGTCAGCAGTTGTTAATGGTTTGTGCCTGGGTCTACTGGTACATTACAGGTTGACATCCAAGCTTATGTGCATTTTTAATTGGTTTTCAGGAGGCTGCTGAATTTTAGAAGATATTGTCTCTGTGGAGCCAGTTAGTAGGCTTTAGGTGTTTTAAATATGGCTGTTGTTATTTCCTAAAGTTAAAAAAATCAGTGTCTCTCTTTGCCTAGGAAAGCCCTTTTGTAACAATGAGACCTTCGGCCAGTATCCCCTCCAGGTAAACGGTTATCGCAACTTAGACGAATGTTTGGAAGGGGCCATGGTGGAGGGTGACATTGAGCTTCTTCCTTCTGATCACTCAGTGAAGTATGGACAAGAGGTAAGGTGTATATTTTTACTTGCTCTGCCAATGACAAATCCAATTCATTAGGACTGAACTTTTAGCAAACTAGTTCCTATCACAGTTAAGTAACTTTACACTGAACAGAACTTAACTTTGTCTTAAGTCTCTCATTAGTTGATATGAGTCAGTGAGTGTTAGTGCTTTGATAAATAAATTCTTTACTGAAATTATGAATTTGAGTTGATCATGTAAAGGTTGTGTGCTGCTTCTGATGTTTTAAGTATGATCAAGTTTCTCTCTTTCTGTTGAAGCCTACCTGTACCTGAGTAGGGAGAATCCACTGCCTCCATATTTTCGGAGGGTAAAAGTACAGTGATTAACTCCTATGGTATGCCATTTGGAATATTTTCCCTATTACAGTATATATTGTTCTCAGTTGTAAGTTCTGCCTTTGCTTTTACATTTTTTTACATTTAATTTTCATTTATATGGGGTTTTGTTTTTTGATGGGTTGAAAAGAAAGGGGGGAAATTAAAGGGAGAGCCAGGATATTTCATATCTAGAAATTCCAGTAGGGTAGGAATTAGTAACATTTGTACATTGTCAGTTTGGATTGTTCTTTCATCATACATTTTGAGGCAAAATTGTGGTTTATAATGATTCCAATTCAGGAATTACTATAGGACAAAAGAAGTGCTTTCTTGAGTTAAAATAGGAAGATGGGGGCTGGGGATATAGCTCAGTGGTAGAGAGAGCCCTTGCCTCGCATGCATAAAGTCCTGTTTTCGATTCCCAGCACCACAAAAAAAGAGGGGTGTGGGAGCCTGACATGAGTCTTGTGGAAGTACATTAGCTTTAGAAAGTTTTGAAATATGGAGAGAGCTTCTGCCTCCTCAGCTTTCCAAAGAAAGCTTTACTTCCTAATGGGAGGCGCATCAACTGTGAAATCTGATGTGTTCGCCTACGAAAGAGAGCAAATGTTCACTGGCTACTCAGACCTCAGTATTCAATGATGGAAACTCTGTAAAAACAAAACAAAAGCAAACAGAAGGTATTATGCTCATTTGCTTAGATTTAGCCCTCAGGTAGTCAAACCAGGCTGTCTGGATTCACTTTCCTGTGCCATCAGGGCATCTGGAGGGAGCACTGTTTATATCTTTGGTAAAGGGAACACTTTAAGCTGTTCATAGGAACTTGGGCACACAGGTGAATTGAACCAAATGCCTTTCCCAGTGTAGTTTTTCCTCACCTAGGATCAGGGATGGTTGATTTTTGTTTTTTTTTTTTTAAAGTAAGTCCGTGTTTTCCTTTCTTGAAACTGTAGGTAACAATTGACCTGCTGTTGTAGGTTGACTTGGCTGGCTTTCATGAGACATCTATACATTGGAATTCAGAGATTTTTCTTCCTCTGAAACTTGAGGAATTACAAAATCATGAGTCTGTTTGCTTCTTTTGTAACTATAAAAGGAATTTCAATTAAAATTATTTAAAGTTTAAATAAACAGTACCTAATATATGCGCAGTATAGTCTTTTTAGATGATTCCTGGAGATAGTTATCTCCTTAGGAGTGCTGTTTAGATCATTATTTTCAGTTCTTTGGTGAGGCTGTCTGTTTTCTTCAAGATTTGAACCTCTTGAATACTGATGACTCACTTAGTGAATGAGCACTGTAGATGCTTAGTCAGCTCACATTTTCAAGGGTGGTTATTTCTCAGGATGGTGGTGAATAAAATGCCATTGATGGTCTAGTAAATTTGGAGTTGTAAGGAATATTTAACCACGTTTTTAAGAGAGTGATTTTAAGTGTTTATTTCCTTTAGTATGTGGGATAAAAATGCTGTAGTATGGGTTTGAAAATAAATTCTGGGCCAAAAGAATAAAGTTTGGGGAGGGATATAGAATAAAGTTTGGGGAGGGATATTTTTCACATGACACTTATATCCTGAAATTAATTTTTCTTTTTCCTACATTTCCACCTTGGACATAGCGTTGGTTTACAAAGCTACCTCCCGTGTTGACCTTTGAACTCTCCAGATTTGAGTTCAATCAGTCTCTTGGGCAGCCAGAGAAAATTCATAATAAGCTGGAATTTCCTCAGATTATTTATATGGACAGGTGAGTTCTTGGTTATTGTATTCCTGGTGTAATGCAGCAGTAGAAGTGAGCATTCTAGGTGTATTGCGCTGCAGGTCTGGATCATATGCAGATTTGGAGTCAGTTGATCTTCATTGGAGCTCAAGAGTTTGTAATGTCCAAGAAGCTCTCGGTTGTGTTGATACTTCTCATCCTGGACCACAATTTGAGAAGCTAGGCTTTAGGTGAAAGCCTTGCTTTTCTGGGGCAAGGAGCCAGAGTATACTTCTATTTTGAGTACTGTATTCCTGGGATGATGGTGAGGAGGCTCTAGAGAGACTCATTATAGACTATTAATCTATTTAAAGTCTGATTTATTGAGGTGCGGTTTACATCCAGAAAATTATGTTACCATCTTAGGCATATGACCAATGAGTTTTGACAAATGTAAATAATGAAATAGCTACCATCACAGTTATGATAGAAAACATTCCCGTCTCCCAAAAGATTCCCTTTTGTTACCCCATATAGTCAATCCTTTTCTTCCGCCCCCAGGTGCTGGCAATCATTTACTTGTTTTCTGACTATAATTTTGCCATTCCTACAATGTCACATTAGTGACATTAATATTTAGTGTGCACTCTATTATAACTGTTCTTTTTTGTTTTGTTTTGTTTTTTGTGGGATGGAGTTTGAACTCAGGGCTTACAAAACAGGCACCCTACCGTTTGAGCCATACCTCCTGTCCTTTGTTGCCTGTGTCGGAAGTTCATTCCTTCCTATTGTTGAGAAGTGTTCTCTCTCTCTCTCTCTCTCTCTCAAGCCCCTGTTGAGTAGCATCCTTTTGCATGTGTGTACCACAATACTCTTTTCCAATCACCTGTTAGTACATGTTTCAGATGTGTTATTTCAGATGTGTCCAGTTCCACGCTTTTATGAATAAAGGTGCTGTGAGCATGAACACAGAAGCCTTGGTGTAGTTTTTAGTTTTCTTGAGTAAGCTGTCTAGGAGTGGATTGTTAGATTGTATGAAGTGTGTATTTTCCCTTTAAAAGAAATTTTCATACTGTGTTCTGAACTTACAATGTAGTTTTGCATCTACCAGTATCAATAAGAGCTCCATTTGCTCCAAATCCTTCCTGATGCTTGGAATTATAAAGTTTTAAAAATTCTAGCTGTTCTAGAGGGTATGGAGAAATATTGTACTTATCATGACTTATATTTTCCTGATAACTTAAGATGTTGAGCTTAACTAATGGTAATTTGTATATTTTCTTTGGTAAAGGGTCTGTTCCATCTTGGTGGCCCTGGGGTTTTGAACTCAGGGCCTTGTGCTTGCTGGGCAGATGCTCTATCACTTGAGCCATGCTTTTTTTTTTTTTTTTTTTTTTTTGAGCTGATTGTCTTAATACTGAGTTGAAAGAGATCTTTACATAGATTAGTTACAAGTCTAAATGTTTTGTCTCTTTTCTTGTTTCTTTCCAGTATCTTTAGAAGTTTTAGATTTGGTCAAGTCTAGTGCATCAGGGTTTTTTTCTTTTTGTTTCTGTTTTTAGTAGTTTGTATTTTTGTTCCAAGACATTCTTTCTCACCCAGTGTCACAGTTATTTTCTTTTTTTCTAGAAATTTTGTAGTTTTAGTTCTTTTGTTAGGTTTATGATCCATTTGGATTTTACCTTTATATATGGAGGAAAGGGGGATGCATGTCCAGTTGTAACAGCACTATTTGTTGAAATAAACTATCTTCCCCCCTTGGCACTTTGGTCAAAAATGAATTAAACGGGCTGGGGGTGGCTCAAGTGGTAGAGTACTTTCCTAGCATACACAAGTACTGCACATACACATACAAAATTGAACATATAATTTGTGGGTTTATTTCTATAGTGTTTATTCTGTTTGTGGTCTATAATTATGTCAGTGCCACATTGTATTCATTATGATGACAATTTTTTTTAATGTTTGCCTATTTATTTAATTTATTTTTGCAGTGCTAGGGATTGAAACAAGGTCTTTGTGAATGCTAGGCAAACACTCTACCACTGAGGTACATCTCCAGTCCTTGACTTTTTGACAGGGTCTTGCTGTGTCATGCTGGCCTGAAACTTGCTATGTAACCCAGGCTAGCTTTAAAGTGGTGATCCTTCTGCCTCTGCCTCCAGAGCGCTGGAATTACAGGCACGCACTGCCATGCCTGGCAGTAGTGGCTTTACTTTACATCTGAATAACAGATTGTAACAAAAGTGTTTTTCCTGGCATTTCTATAAAAATTTTATCAACTTGCCAGGTTCTACCAAATGACTGTTGGGATGTTGGTTTGGATTATGTTGTGTTTATAGATCAATTTGGGAGAAATGACTTTTGAGTCTTTAAATCTATGAACATAGTATAGGTCCTTTTATTTAAACCTTCATTTTTTTCCTCAACAATATATAATTTTTAGTATATAGGTCTTACACATTAAATTTATCTCTAAGTAAATCATGCTTTTGGTGTTATAATGCTGTCGTAAGATTTTATTTTTCATTTGTTCTTGATGAGCATATGGAGGTGCAGATGATTTTAGTCATTGCACATGTATCCTTGGGCCTTAAGAAACTCACTTATTTTTTCTGATGTGTTTTGGTAGATTCTTTGAGATTTTCTGTGTAGACAGTCATATCCTCTAACTAAAAGGCAGTTTACTTCTTCCTTTACTGTCTGTATGTCTTTTATTTATTTTTCTTTCCTTAAAAAAATTGTGCTGGTTGTGCCTTCAATAAACCATTGAAGAGAAGTGGTGAGAGTGGGTGTCCATGCCTTGTTTCTGATCTTAGTAGGATTCATCTGCCTTTGATACTTGTACAGTATTAGCTGTACCTTCTTCATGGGTGCGCTTTATCTGATTGAGGAAGTTTCTTTGTGTCCTTGCTTTGCCGAGACTTGTCTTTAATCTTTTCAAGTGTAGATTGTGTTTGTGGGTTATCATTTGCTTAGGTACATGTACGGGAGCAAGGAACTTACTCGGAATAAAAGAGAGTGTGTTCGGAAGTTGAAGGAGGAAATAAAAATCCTGCAGCAAAAATTGGAAAGGTGAGTTTATGAACACTTTTGTAATTAGAAATGTCAAAGAGAGAGAGTAGATTATGAAGGCTAATTAATTTGTTTACACTTAAAAATTGATTCAGAGTTTAATAACTAGGGTATTTTATAAAATAGCTAAGAAATTTTTTTAATATGAAGTAGTCGTCAAGACCAGAAAATATTATCCACAGGTAAGTGGTAGGACCAGGGGACTTAAGTGACTCTGAGTTATACTGGTAGTTATTGGTAGGCAGCCTGAATAAAACCCAAGTTCTGATAGCGTGTATATGGCTTTTCACCTTCTGCTTCCTCCACAGTCTTCCTCATGGTGCTCCACTTCACTTGGAAGAGTGGTTTCTGAAGTGTTCAGAAAGAGGGGCTCTAGCTGACTAAAAGGGCTAACGTTTATGACACGTGCAAAATCCTTTCTCTTATTGTTTGTTTTGCACTGAATATTTCTGTGGAGTTACCTTGATTTCCTTAGGAGAAGTCAGTGATTTCTTTCTAGTCTAGGTAGATCCCATTGATTGAGCATTTACAAAGAACATCCCATTCAGTCAGTATCTTTTTCTCCTTTGTCTGTTCAGCAGTTTCACTCCTACCATTACCCCATCTATCCAATGTATTGCTAAGTCATTAATTTCTGTGAGGACTACATTGTCCATCCCAGGTCCAAGATGGATCCTGCACCATAGCTCCTGCCCCACCTCATCTTCCTCTCCTTCAGAAAGATCTCCAAAATGTGTTGTGACTCTGTCATGTGTTGTCTGAATAGATACTAAGCTGAACACCCACTCCTCAGATATTTTCCTGGGAGTGATTTATAGAACTCTGAGTGCTGTTCTATTTTACTTTATACTCTAAAGCTGGAAACTTTAAATAATAGTTAATATTATCATCATTTTGTGCTTGCTCTGTAGGTGCTCTACCACTTGAGCCATGCTTCCTGTCCCTTTAGATTATTTTTTATAGAACCAAACATACTTGATACTTTATAGCTAAGAAGAAACCAGGAACCAATAATACATTCAGGCTTATTTAGATTTTAAAATAGAGCATAGGATCATTCCCTTGGTATAATATTAGTTTTGTTTTAAAATAAAATGACTTTAAATTTCAGTTAATGTTTGTATATGTATGACACACTACTGGGAAAATAACAAGAACCTTGATACCATTAGGTAGTAGAACTGAGATGCGGTAGATACTTTTATGGTCTGTTTTACACTATTTTGTAATTGACTTTTCTTACTGAGTGCATGCATTACATTTATTGTTTAAGAATAAAAGCGTTTGCCATTTCTTCTCTTAAGAAACCCGTATATAATATTGAAAATAAGATTTTTTCTATACAGTGTAACAAATTTTTGAAACCACTTTTGCTCTGGTTTTATTAATCAAAACAGGTTCTGCATTATATGAAGTAATTGGCCTAAAGTTATCTAAAGGAACTCATTAGAAGAACACAAAAATTATGTCATAAAATTAACGACAGGTGTCTTAGAGAAAAAATTCCCTTGTGATTTTTATATCAGTATTTTGTTAAAATGCAGCAAACCTAGAAAGAGTTACACATGTAAAATGTTTACAATCCTGTGACTGATTATCAGTGCTGCATTGCATATGTAGTGTGAAAGATACGTAGAGTTTGATAGGCTGGTAATAGTAAAAGTGGAGGCAAGAAAGTACAACAGGCATAGAATAGTTCTCTAAGGCTTCTCTACCTTTACATATCAGATCCTTTTCGGTGAAAGCCACAACTCTCTACAGGAGGCAGATGCTATTTCTCCTTTAAGTTACTGAAGATAATAGTGGGTAGATCCCTTTCTGCCTTTGCTGAGCTAGCCTTTGCTATCTGTTGATTATGTGATTGACTTTGAGTTGCATTGTCCTTTATTATCCACTTTCTTTTCTTTCTTTTTTTTTTTTTTTGGTACGAGTTTGAACTCAGGGCCTCACGGCTGCTAGGCAGATGCTCTACCACTTGAGCCACACCTCCAGCCCTGTTTTCATTTTACAGTGTCCTTTTTGGTACAGAACAGGTGATTTCCCTTAATCCAAATTTTATGCCTGTTTCTTTCTTTCACTGTATTCAGAGACAAGAAATGTGAAGGGACTCTATTCTTTTGGAAAAGCAGAATATTGGATATTATTTAAATATTCGTTAATTGTTTTGGTCACATGCTTGAAGATATTTATTATCTACTCTTCCTGCAGAAATCTTTAATAATTTATGCCTGGCCTATGCCATTGAATGAGTGTGTAATAATAGAGTACTTAAGATCCTGCAGAAGAAAGATTTGCTAGCTAAACTCTGCCCTTTATAGATATCTCCCTATTTCCTGCTTTCTGTCATCCTCAGTTGTGAAGTAGTTGGTCTAAAGGCAGCAATGAAAAACCCCTTGTACTAGTTCACCAGAATTACTTTCAGATTGGAGTACTAGTAACATATGTATGTTCCCTTAAGAAACAATTTTGTTTTCTGTCTGGAGCTTAACTATGACACCAAGAGAAAGCATTTTGATTAGGAGCCATTTGAAATGTTTCTTGTTCGATATAAAACATTAATTGTTAGCAAGTTTTCCTGTGTTAGTTAGAGAATTCCTATCCTCTGGTTGAGTGACCTATTGGATACTGTATGCATTAGGAATAAGCGTCTCTGTTGACTCCTGATGTGATAGGTGTTTTGTCACCAAGCCTCAAATGCACAGCAGACTCATGTGGTGGAGAACCGCTGTCTTTGCCTCTTAGGTATGTGAAGTACGGCTCGGGCCCGGCTCAGTTCCCACTCCCCGACATGTTGAAATACGTTATTGAATTTGCTAGTACAAAACCTGCCTCAGAAAGCTGTCCGTCTCCAAGTGACACATGCGTGACATTACCACTTCCTTCAGTGCACTGCCCAGTTTCTGACCTGACATCCAAAGAAAGGTAATGATAACAGACTTTTTAAAAACAGTATGTGTCATTTTTCTGGTTTAATTTGAACTATGCACCACTTTCTGGTTGGTTAGCACTTAGCTCACAAGATCTCAAGGAACTGTGAGCCTGTCGTAAGGGAAGGACTTTTGTCAACTGTCACCCAAGTAACAGTGTTCTAGTTCTCTTCAGTGCACCAGTCTCTGGGATGGCTGAGGTTGTTTCAGAGACTTCTCACTATCTAGGACAGTGATCATACTCTGCCAGAACTGCCATCCTGTGAGCTCACTCTCCCTAAAGGCCTTTTTCAGAGGAAAGTCAAGCCCTGATCTTCCCAGACATCTCATTCTCCCATCTCCTGTGATGTGTGCATGGTTAAGTAAACATCAAGAAAAGAGACCTATTCATGATTAGAGAACTAAAACATAAAACAGCCCTCCTTTTCCATTCAGCTCAACCAGATACAGCAATTTGTATTGTTCAGCTTGGGTCACATTTGATGTGTTTGTGTTCTCACTAATACAAATACTAGTACCCAGGGAGGGTGGGCACCCCCTTCTTGCGGTCTTCCTGCCTCTTCCTCTCCAGTCCTGGAGTTTCAGGCCTGAGCCACCATGCCTGGCTTTGATATCTTTAAATGTTAGGTTCGTAATTGGGATGCCAACAGAGCAGGGCACAGTGGACCATGGCTGCGATCTCAGCATTCAGGAGGCTGAGGCAGGAAGATTACAAGTTCAGGGCCAGCCTGGGCTACATGAGACCCTGTATCAAAAAATAAAAACCAGCAAGGACCGTATCTGCCACATAGCCACGTTGTGTTAAGTGAGACGATTCATATAAGAAAAAGTTTAACTTAGTATCTTTACAGAGTTAATACTCATTGAGTAATAGCTGCATTTTTGTATATAGCAGCTTGTTTTCCAAAGCATGTTAATTTTGGTCAAAGTATATTGTAGAAATTATCAAATAAGCATTATTTTTGTCTTCCTTTAGTACAAGTCCAGAAAGCACTTCTCAGGATGTTGGAAGTACCTTTTCTTCTGAAGACTCCCTTCACAAATCTGAGGTACGGAAGACCGCCCCACGGTCTTCCCTGGAAATGCCTACTCAACCAGCTCCCCGAACAGTCACAGACGAGGAGATGAACTTTGTTAAGACCTGTCTTCAGAGGTGGAGGAGTGAGATTGAACAAGATATACAAGGTTGGTGCTCAAAGCTTGTCAGTTGCTCTTTGCCTTTCCTGTTCTTTGAATATTTGGAATCTAGGTACCTTGCTTATGCTTCCTGCCATTGCCATACATGCTGCTGAATTTAAACCTGGTGATCGTGACTCTTCATGCCCTGTAAAACTGCTTCACATCCCCATTATGCAACTGCAGGAGGATTACTCCTAGGTTCCCTCCTCAGAATTTCTGGAAATTTGTAGATACTTAGACACTCACAATTACCCCTGCTGAGGTCAGTGTTTATTCCTTCCTTCTTCCCTCCCTCCCTCCCTACCTCCCTGTTTTTCTCTCTCTCCCATCTCCCATCTTCTCCCCTCCTTTTCCTTTTCTTTCCATTCTTTCTCTCTTTCCTTTCTTGGTCTCCTTTCTTCTTTCTTTCTGTGTTCCTTGCACTGCTGGGGGATCAAACCGAAGGGTTTATGCATGCTAAGCACATGTTCTACCATTGAGTTTACTCTGAACCCAGATTTTCCTACATTTAGTTTCTGTTCATGCAGCAGTTTAGTTGCCCAAACTTAGAATTCCTCTATTTCTTTTAAATCGTTTCCATGTAAAATCTTTTCCATACTTTACTGAAGCTTAATGAGGCAGAGAGTATTTGAGTGGAGCATATAATGTAAAATTGAATTATTAAGCATTCTGTTCTTAAAGTCATTTGGTCTTATTGCCACATTGCTGTCCCTTCCTTTCCTTTCTCCTTTCATTTAAGACAAATAAAATTCCAGAGTCCATCCAAATTCTTATTCAGAGAAATTTAGCCCTACCCTTTGTCCTGCCCCCTCATTTCAGAGCCTCTTATGATGTACAATTTTACCCATAAGTGACTCATTGAAGTTTTTTCCTGAATTTGTCCATTTTCCTCTTGAAAAAATTTTGGGGCTAATTATTAAAAAAAAAAAGTTAATGCAATTGTGTTGGATGAAAAGCCTCCATAAGCTAGAGCCTAGCTGCTTCAACACCATATGCTATTTTGTCATTCATAGTGGGAAACTGAACTTGTTAGAACCATTAGTGCAGAAAAGAAATACTGTTTGCTTAGTTGAACAACCTGTGTGATGTGGACTGAGATAATTTTAATGAAGTATTCTTTTTTAACAGATTTAAAGAATTGTATTGCAAACACCACCCAGACTATTGAGCAGATGTACTGCGATCCTCTCCTTTGTCAGGTAGAGTGAGAATTAATGGGAAAGTAGTCAAGGCACATGTTGATGGGAGTCAAGAAAACATAGTTTTCTTTGAAACCACATGGGATGCTCCCTGAGACTTAAGATAGAAACATATTGTTTCCTTATTTTATGCAAAGAAAGCAATGTAGCTCTTACCTGCAGTAGAACCTAAAACATCCTTATTTTGAAAATACCACGTCCTGCCATGTGGTATTTTTTCATACAGTAGAAAGGTTTGCTGCCATATATTCATGAAAGTTTCTCAAAAAATGGCAATTTAAGAACTGCAGTAAGGAAAGCTGACCTAGGGACCATTTGTGCATTCTTTCTGTGTGATAGTCCCTGCGAGAGTTTTGTTAGCAGTGTGCTTTCAGGCTTTATTTCCCTAATAACTTAAGGTACAAAAGGGAGTCAGGCAGGACAGAAGTTTTACTCTCCACACACATTTTGTTCAGAATAGTTCTAGGAGTGACCCTGCAGAGGCCTCTGTGTGAATGGACCACAGCAGGATGACTGCAGGAGCACAGTTCTGCTGTGTATCAGGGATGTGCATGTGAATTGTGGGGTTCCCTATTGTCTCTTTTGTGTTATTCAAAAATACTTAACCAACAAAAGCATGTCAAGGTAATGACAGGAGTTTAGAGTTAAAAGCACCTTCAGAGGGGAGGTGGGAGGGGCATGGAAATATGGGGGGTGAGCTTGTTCAAAGTACACTGTACACATGTATGGAATTACCTTCATGAAATCCCCTAGTATTACTAACATATGATAATTCGAGAATAATTTTTTTTTAAGAGTCTTCAGAGAAGTCTAGCTTAAACATCTTGATTTGAAAGTTCTGGGTCTGAGGCCTAATTGGTAGGCTCCTAGGCTGTTCTGTTAGTGCATCTTGAACTAGCAAGATGCTTGATGTGAACCCCATACCAAATACATGTGCAATAGTCATTTTTCCTCTCTCTGATGGTTGGAAATCATTGTGAACTTTAATAACCTAAACTTGATCTGCTTTCTTTGCTTAATTGAGGCATTTCTTTTCTGACTGCAGGTGCCTTATCGCTTACATGCAGTTCTTGTTCATGAAGGACAAGCAAATGCTGGACACTACTGGGCCTATATTTATAACCAACCCCGCCAGATCTGGCTCAAGTACAATGATATCTCTGTCACTGAGTCTTCCTGGGAGGAACTTGAGAGAGATTCCTATGGGGGCCTGAGAAATGTCAGTGCGTACTGTCTGATGTATATTAATGACAAGCTACCCCACTTCAGTGCAGGTAAAAAGACCTTAACAGAACCCAGAGATTGGGGAAAATCTGCAAGGCCCAGGGAGGTGAACAGTCTCATACTTCTTTTGAAAACATTTAAACTAAAATTTATTATTTATTATCATGTAATGATGCATTTAAAAATACATAACACTGTAAAAGGGAATAAAAAGGGAAAATGACTTTGCTTTACTGCTTACATCCTTGATCACTAGTCTTACTCCCCAGCAAGTATATACTGTTAAGATTCCTATGTAGTGTTCAAGAACTTTTTATTTATCCCCCATCCTTTTTTTTCTGTCTACATGAGGTATTTTTTTCCATTCAGTTCTGTACTTTTTCAATAATAGAGTATTTAGATCTCTGTATTTTTGTAATTAGAACCTCCTCATACTTTTTAAACAACTGCATAATAATTCCATTGCATGGACTATTGTATTTTTATTTTATTTTTTGGCAATACTAGGAGTTGAACATAGGGCTCTTGGGCTTGTTGTGGATGTGCTCTGCTGCTTGAGCCACACAGCCCTTTTTGTGTTGGTTTTTTGTTTTGTTTTTATTTATTTATTTATTGACAGTACTAGGGTTTGAACTCAGTCTCATGCTTGCTCGGCAGGTGCTCTACCATCTGAGCCACTCCGCCAGTCTTTTCAAGATGGTCTCTCAAACTGTTTGTCCAGGCTGTCTTGGAATTGTGATCCTCCTGATCTCTGCCCCCTGAGTAGTTAGGATTACAGGCGTGAGCCACGGGCGCTCAGCTGTGTTGGTTTATTGTGAGATAGGGTCTCTCTGTATGCGAAGGCCCTGGGCATCGATCCTTGCCCTTTTGCTTTCTCACGTAGCTGGGATGATAGGCACATACCACCATACCCAGCCATTGGTTGAGATGGCGTCACGGAAACTTTTTGCCCAGGTTGGCTTTGAACCTGAGTCCTCGCTATCTCTACAGGTTTAAGGTTTACAGGTTTAAGCCAACACACCTGGTCCCATACTTTTATATATGTCCAATATATATGTATAAAATTTATTGACCAGACTCCCATTGATGGAGTTTTAAATTGTGTTTACTTTTTGCTTCCTTTTTTTAATGACTTCCTTACGTTTACAGTTTTGCATCCTTTGGAGAAGAGCTAAAGTTTTTTACTTTACAATTTTTTTGGTGGGTGGTGGTCAAACTCAGAGCCTTGCATGTGCTGGGCAAGTGTTATACCATGATGTTACATCCCCATCTGTTAGAAGTGTTACATTTTAAAGGTGAGCAGTTTCATACTTCTCATAAAGAGCAGTAATAAATCTCTTTTAATTGATATGTTGTTCCTTAATGCATGCTTTCAAACTTTATCTCTCCAATAGCTTAGTAGCTCTAGAAGGAGGTTTTGGATGGAAATTCGTACTCTCATTCTTCAGCTGGCTGACAGACTTTAAAAGGGTCTGTAGTTGTCTAGAGTCATACAGCTTGTAAATAAATGTCGGGCCCAAGATTCAAATCCAGTTCTGACTCCTAATTCTATCCCATTTCACCTTACATTATTCTCTTTCTTTCCCATCTCCGTGAGAGGTCTTATGACCAGCATTTTACATGTAAGGTGGTAGAAGGTTTTTCCTTTTGATACTTGACTTTACTGTGATCCATGAGAAAGCACGCAAAGCATTTTGTCCAGGACTACATTGTCTTTCTCCCTTACCAGTGTGGTTGGGGAACAGGAAGTAGAAGGAATGGTCATTTAATAATCAGTAATGTTCAGAATTGTGTATTTAGCTTGGTATGTAGTACACTCCTGTAATCCCAGCAATCTGTAGGTTGACATAGGAAGGTCACAAGTTCACAGTTATCCTAGGCTGCATAGTGAGACCCTGTCTTAAAACAAGCTTAATTTACTTAACGGAGAAAAACTGAAACCATTCCCTCTAAAATCAGGAACCAGACAAGGATGCTCACTATCTCCACTCCTATTCAACATAGTACTGGAATTCCTAGCCAGAGCAATTAGGCAAGAAGAAGGAATAAAAGGAATACAAATAGGTAAAGAAACTGTCAAAATATCCCTATTTGCAGATGACATGATCCTATACCTTAAAGACCCAAAAAACTCTACTCAGAAGCTTCTAGACATCATCAATAGCTATAGCAAGGTAGCAGGATATAAAATCAACATAGAAAAATCATTAGCATTTCTATACACTAACAATGAGCAAACGGAAAAAGAATGTATGAAAACAATTCCATTTACAATAGCCTAAAAAAAAATCAAATACCTAGGTGTAAACCTAACAAAAGACGTGAAAGACCTCTACAAGGAAAACTATACACTTCTGAAGAAAGAGATTGAGGAAGACTATAGAAAGTGGAGAGATCTCCCATGCTCATGGATTGGTAGAATCAACATAGTAAAAATGTCTATACTCCCAAAAGTAATCTACATGTTTAATGCAATTCCCATCAAAATTCCAATGACATTCATTAAAGAGATTGAAAAATCTACTGTTAAATTTATATGGAAACACAAGAGGCCACGAATAGCCAAGGCAATACTCAGTCAAAAGAACAATGCAGGAGGTATCACAATACCTGACTTCAAACTATATTACAAAGCAATAACAATAAAAACAGCATGGTACTGGCACAAAAACAGACATGAAGACCAGTGGAACAGAATAGAGGACCCAGATATGAAGCCACACAACTATAAGCAACTTATCTTTGACAAAGGAGCTAAAAATATACGATGGAGAAATAGCAGCCTCTTCAACAAAAACTGCTGGGAAAACTGGTTAGCAGTCTGCAAAAAACTGAAACTAGATCCATGTATATCACCCTATACCAAGATTAACTCAAAATGGATCAAGGATCTTAATATCAGACCCCAAACTCTAAAGTTGATACAGAAAGAGTAGGAAATACTCTGGATTAGTAGGTATAGGTAAGAACTTTCTCAATGAACCCCAGCAGCACAGCAACTAAGAGATAGCATAGATAAATGGGACCTCATAAACTAAAAAGCTTCTGTTCATCAAAAGAAATGGTCTCTAAACTGAAGAGAACACCCACAGAGTGGGAGAAAATATTTGCCACTACACATCAGACAAAGGACTGATAACCAGAATATATAGGGAACTTAAAAAACTAAATTCTCCCAAAACTAATGAACCAATAAAGAAATGGGCAAGTGAACTAAACAGAACTTTCTCAAAAGAAGAAATTCAAATGGCCAAAAAACACATGAAAAAATGCTCACCATCTCTAGCAATAAAGGAAATGCAAATTAAAACCACACTAAGATTCCACCTCACCCCTGTTAGAATAGCCATCATTCAGCACACCACCAACAACAGGTGTTGGCGAGGATGCGGGGAAAAAGGAACCCTCTTACACTGTTGGTGGGAATGTAAACTAGTACAACCACTCTGGAAAAAAATTTGGAGGCTACTTAAAAAGCTAACATCGATCTACCATTTGATCCAGCAATACCACTCTTGGGATATACCCAAAATACTGTTACTCCAGAGGCACCTGCACACCCATGTTTTATTGCAGCACTATTCACAATAGCCAAGTTATGGAAACAGCCAAGATGCCCCACTACTGACGAATGGATTAAGAAAATGTGGTATCTATACACAATGGAATTTATGCAGCCATGAAGAAGAACGAAATGTTATCATTCGCTGGTAAATGGATGGAATTGGAGAACATCATTCTGAGTGAGGTTAGCCTGGCCCAAAAGACCAAAAATCGTATGTTCTCCCTCATATGTGGACATTAGATCAAGGGCAAACACAAACAAGGGGATTGGACTTGAGCACATGATAAAAGCGAGAGCACACAAGGGAGGGTGAGGATAGGTAAGACACCTAAAAAATTAGCTAGCATTTGTTGCCCTCAACGCAGAGAAACTAAAGCAGATACCTTAAAAGCAACTGAGGCCAATAGGAAAAGGGGAACAGGAACTAGAGAAAAGGTTAGATCAAAAAGAATTAACCTAGAAGGTAACACCCACGCACAGGAAATCAATGTGAGTCAATGCCCTGTATAGCTATCCTTATCTCAACCAGCAAAAACCCTTGTTCCTTCCTATTACTGCTTATACTCTCTCTACAACAAAATTAGAGATAAGGGCAAAATAGTTTCTGCTGGGTATTGAGGCAGGGGAGAGGAGGGGGTGGAGTGGGTGGTAAGGGAGGGGGTGGGGGCAGGAGGGAGAAATGAACCAAGCCTTGTATGCACATATGAATAATAAAAGAAAAAGGAAAAAAAAAAAAACAAGCTGGGAGCTGGGGGCTCACGTGTATAACCCTAGCTACTTGGGAGACTAAGATTGGGAGGATCACAGTTCAAGGCCATCCCAGCAAATAGTTCAGTAGACCCCAAATATAACCAAAATAACCAGAGCAAAGTGGATTTGAGGTGGCTCAGGTGGTGGAGTGCCTGCTTTGCAAGTTTGAAACCCAGAGTTCAATACCCAGTCCTGCCAAAATAAACAAAAAAAGAAAAGAAAAGAAAGGAAGGAGGGAAGGGAAGGAAGGAAGGAGATTGCATATTTATAGTATGAAGGCACAAACTTGGTGAAGATGCTTGGGGAGTTCTTGTACACACTGTTGGTAAAATACAGCAGCCTTGTTATTGCCTGCACTGTACATTTTATATTATAAAACCAAACAAGTGGAAACTGTCACCTGCTTAGTGGAAAGGCTAGTTAGTAGCAGCTAGTGAATATATGCATACGTCCTCGATAGATTTGGCATTTCTCATCATAACTTTTTATTATGGACCATATGACCACTGGTTTATAATTTCTTTCTGTTTGATTGTGTGAAACTTGAGAGAAGTATAAATGCCTTGAAATTCATATCTAGCCTTTTTGATATAGGAGTATATTCTTATCAATAATATCAATGGTTAAATTCATAAAACTGTTTAGTTTGAAATTTCTACTGAATCTATTGATTTCCTAAGTTTCTAAGAAATGTTTGGTTCATCCAGTGATTTACCAGGATTAGGTTGTCATTCATTCATTCATCCAGTCATCCAACAGATATTTAAAAGTGCCTATTTACTATATGCCAGGCACTATTATGGGTGTGCTTTGCTTATTGGTCTCATATCATTGGTCTTCCTGATGAATTACGCATGTATGTATTTTTAGTTAGCAACAAGAAAAAAAGGATGAAATGTTGGGCTCTCCTCCTGTTTAGAAACTACCTACCTTTTTCTGGGCGGTACTCCATTTAACTCTGTCTCTGTTTTTCCTCAGAGTCAGCCCCCAGTGAATCAGATCAGATGATGGGAGAAGTGGAAGCTCTGTCTGTTGAACTCAAGCATTATATTCAAGAAGATAACTGGCGGTTTGAGCAGGAAGTAGAGGAGTGGGAAGAAGAGCAGTCTTGTAAAATCCCTCAAATGGAATCCTCTAATGGCTCAACATCACAGGATTTCTCTACATCACAAGGTATCTGAGAAGGGTGTGATGTTGGTGATGTAGTAACACTCATGCTGTACCCCTACTCCCTGCCAGCCCTGTACCTCAGCCTGCCGAGTGACACCAGTCTTCACAGTATGTTTAATTTATAGTTGGTATGGCACAACCTGATAGAATGAACAATGGCTTTAGAATGTGATTTCTGATGAGCAGAAATAATACCAGAAAGACTACCTGTGCCTTACATGTATAGGCTTACTCATTCCCCAGGTTGTAGAGAAACTGTGATGAATTAAAAACTGTTCTCCAAAGGAGATCTTCCCAGCAAATGGTTGTATATAGGAAGCCTCCGTTTGTTTACTTTGTTTCACCCCGTCCCCCCGTAGGATTTTATTATGTAGCTAAGGCTGGCCTTGAACTTTCAACTCTTCTGCTTCGGCCTCCCATGTGCTGGGATTATAAGTGTGTACCACCACGCCTGGCTACAGGAAGTCTTCTTGGCATAGAGATGACAAGTTGGGAGCATAGTAAATTTCAGATCTTCAGTGGTTTCTTTCTAAATAGCCTTTTCTTGTAGTTACCAGTTTCTAGGGGAATTTTGCACAGAATTTAGAAGGATTGTGTATTCAAGTCCCACCTGCCTATTACCGGTGTGTTACAGATGTTATTAACCATCAGATGCTAATGCCTTTGTGCAATTTTGTCAGAGCCTCCAGCAGCCTCTTCTCCTGGGGCTCGCTGCCTGTCATCTGAGCATGCTGTGATTGTGAAGGAGCAGACTGCCCAGGCCATTGCAAACACAGCGCGTGCCTATGAGAAGAGTGGCGTAGAAGCAGCACTGAGTGAGGTGAGGCCGATGGGGAGCCCAGGTTCAGGAGGGCCTGGCCCTCCGCAGCGATGCCAGCTTTCTCACACTGCTCTGTTCTGTGTCTCTGCGGCACTTAACCATCCCTTTGTATTTCTCCTCCATTCTGCTGCCACAGCCTAAGGAAGCTGAACCTGAGAGGTCCGTGCCCCAGGAAACAGACCTTGCAGAGCAGTCAGAGCAGCCCCAGAGGGCTATTGATGCAGAATCTGCTGCCCAGCCTAATTCTGAGGTCTCTGAAGTCGAGATACCCAGTGTGGGAAGGATTCTGGTTAGATCTGATGCAGATGGCTATGATGAGGAGGTACAGAGATGAGTGCAGGAAGCAGCTGTTTGTTGTCAGTCTTGTATTTCCTTCTCATGTGACTGCATATTCCTTTTTAAGGTGTTTGGCAATAGATACTATTTTCTCATTAAAACAAATAATTGACAAGAAGGCCTGTTTGGTTTGGATCTTATTTATCATTTATTAAAAGACAGTCACAGTCTTGTTCCCGTTGTGCACTGTCTCTGTGTGTATGTCCACCCAGGCTTACTTTTGTGGGGGCTGCTGCAGAGTCTAGTTGGCTCAGAAAGGTATTGTGGATTAAAAATGACCTTCTGGAGAGTCTTGTTGTTTGTTTGTCTTTTTGTTTTTCTTTTTGTTTTGTTTTGAGACAGGATCTGACTGTGGCCCAGGCTGGCCTCAAACTCACAATCCTCCTTCCTTAGCCTCCCAAGTGCGGGGATTATAAGTGTATACCATAATGCCTGGCTGAGAATTTTTGTTTTTGATATTAGTCCATTATGTTTCCTCCATATAGAAATTATCAGTTGTCCATGAGTAAAACAAGTGTAGATTAAAGTTGACGTTGTTTTAATTCTAAATCTTTGGCAAGAAGCTGCAGAATCTCAAGTTATTCATAGTCTATCTCCTCTCTGATTGCACTGCACAGTAACCGTCACAAATCCCGTCTCTCAGAGTTCTCTTCTTTCCTATGGGGTATTTTGTTTTTAGTCATTGGAAGATTTTTGTTTATAGAGTCATGTTTGTATAGCTCATGGTTTCTACACTATTTGTAATATACCATTCATCCTAGTAAAACTCGAAAATATTTGTGTATTTAAACTATATACTCAGAATTGCAGAACTAAATTGGGATTCTGAGCTCAGATACTTCCCTCTGAGAAGTAAATAACTTAATTATTCGGCTGTGCCATATTAAGATATTTTTGGACATCTATGCAAAATTTGAACATGTAGTGTAGGGCTAGTTTGTCTTGGGCAAGGTGTTGACGTTATGTAGGGGACAGAGGTGGTGCATGCCTGTAGGAACAGGGTATGAAACTTGACTTGCAGTCCATGCTGGCCAAGGGACACATTGCTTTACTTCCCTTCCACTCTGTTCACCTTGCTTTCATACAGTCTTCTTTTGATCCTTTCTTCTCTCCTTTTTTCTCTCTGTGTTTTGTGCCCTCTTGTGGTAGGTGATGCTGAGCCCTGCCATGCAAGGGGTCATCCTGGCCATAGCTAAAGCCCGTCAGACCTTCGACCGAGATGGGTCTGAAGCAGGGCTTATTAAGGTATCTTTGTTTTAAAGATTTTAATTCTTATAACCAGGTATCAGAATGTTAGGACAGTGCTTCTATAAACAGTGGGTGGGATTAAAAATGTCCTTCATTAAAGCAAAACTTAAAAGTGTTCTAAGTTTTAAGCCTACAATACTGTTGGCTTCTCTTCTGGGCACTAAGCACACCTCAGCTAGCAGTGCCACACTGTCACACTCGCCTCCTGGGGCTGCTGTTGTTACTGCTAGAGGTGTCCATTAATAAAGCTGACTGAGATTTTGCCTTTGTCGTTTGAGCACCTTCATATACAAAATACGCCATGCTTTTAAGGTATTTGAATAAAGTTTAAGATACTTGAGAAAAATTGCGTTTGTGTGGATTTTTTAAAATCCAGAACATTGCACTAAGGTATATACCTGCAACAATTAAAACTTAGTATTTCTTTTTTCAAGAACTTCATGAGAAAAATGAGTTTGTTATGAGTATAGTCTGTCTTTGTTGCCAGAATGCTAGAAGAGTTTCATCCTTTATGATAATGCCTACAACTCTAAGATTTCCTAGTTGCTTTTATAATCCTTTGATAGGAAGAATTCCTTCTGATTGTCATGGCGCTGTGAGACCCTTTAGCCTTTAGGTGTCAATTTCCGTGTGCACAGAAGTCCACAATCCTCCTGTCTCTGACCATTGATTCTGTCTTCAATAGGCATTCCATGAAGAATACTCCAGGCTCTATCAGCTTGCTAAGGAGACCCCCACCTCTCACAGCGACCCTCGACTTCAGCATGTCCTTGTCTACTTCTTCCAAAATGAAGCACCCAAAAGGGTAGTGGAACGGACCCTTCTGGAGCAGTTTGCAGATAAAAATCTTAGCTATGATGAAAGGTGAGAAGGGAACACACAGGTGCTCACCCTCCACTGATCTGACTAGACTAATGTCTCTGAGGGGCACGTTTTTCCCTGCACCCTTTCACTGCTTTCTAAACTTTGTCCCACACAGATCAATCAGTATTATGAAGGTGGCTCAGGCTAAACTGAAGGAAATTGGTCCAGATGACATGAATATGGAAGAGTACAAGGTGAACCCTTTTTTTGTTGTTGTTGTTGTTTTAATCTACAAAGCACATACATTAATTCTGGAGGCAATTGATGCTTTCAGCAAAGGTAACGATTTTGCGTTTTCATAGACAGACTTTTCCTCCCCACTAGAGACCTAGGAAGAATGGATACGCAGTCTTTTCTTGTCTTCCAGACTGCTCCGCCCCCTGTGCAACGCACCTATGCCATTTCCCTCAGCACGCACTTGAGTCCTAAGAATAAAATTCTTGAAATCACACAGTTTTTAAAAAAATGACAGTTTTATAGTGTACATTAATATACATACAGCTACAAATTTTTTTTAAATGCCATGGCATTCTGCATAAACAATGTGTTAGGCCATCAAGTTGTGTTCAGCATACTCACTGAGCTGGAGGTTGCTTTGTGTGACTTGGAACAGCCTTGTCCTTCTGTCTTCCCCAATCTGCATGGTCTTAGCAGTATTTGAGAGGTCATCCATTTATACCAGAGCTGAATGACTTTGACACGGGTGTTGGAAATTAGAATAAATTCTAAAGTTAATGTGGAGTAAATTATTTGTGCTCCCTAGTAGAAGGAATAGAACATTGAAAGTTAAGATCAAGGGCCTGGTGTGTTACTCATGCCTGTAATCCCAGCTACTTGAGAAGTTGAGATAAGAGTTAGCCGTGGTTCAAGGCCAGTCTGGACAAAAAGTTAGCAGGACCCTATCTCAAAGAATGAGTGTGGCGTAATGGCATACATCTGTAATCCCAGCTGCCTTGGAGGCATAGGTAGGAGGATCACTGTCCAAGACTGACCTTGAACAAAAGTGATAGACTCTATCTGAAAAAGATTTAAAGCAAAAAGGTCTGGGGGCATGGCTCAAGTGGTAGAACTCCTGCCTAGCAAGCACAAGGCCCTGAATTCAAATCCTTGTACCAAAAGAAAAAGGAAAATTAGGGTTGTTGGTGGACTTCTATTCTAAATGTTGAGTAGAGTTTTTTTGTTTGAAAGTTTGTGTTTTTGTCTTGGTACTTGGCCAGATGTGCTCAAAAAATGTACTGAATGTGAAACTCACAAGTGACAAGTGCAGCAGTACTTTATTGGGAACAAATCGGTAATGGTAGTTCTTCTTTTACAGAAGTGGCACGAAGATTACAGTTTGTTTCGGAAGGTGTCCGTGTATCTCCTAACAGGCCTGGAGCTCTATCAGAAAGGAAAGTATGTTGGCCTTTTATTTCACTGACACTGTTGGTGAGGCCACTGCTACTTGCTGCTGCCTACCCAGAGAAACTAAGGATCACAGCCGTGTATCACCACCCTGTCTGTCATACACAGTGTGGTCACACACTTTTACTCTTTCCAGAGCATCCTTTTCTCTTTTTTTTTTTTTTTTTTGTCCTTCACATAGTAGTAGACTTGTTAGTGATGAGATATACTGTGCCAGACTTTCTTTGTGACAAGTGTAGATGAACTCAGAAAATGAATTGTTAAGTTGGTACAGACTCCGTGAGTATCTAGTCCCCTTCTTTGTTTTAGAAATGGAAAAACTGAAGCCCAACGAAGTTCCTGATTTGCCTTGAGTTTCTTGCCTAATTTGTAGAAGAGCTGAGACTGACTGTGGTCTTTGGCCCCAGACTTTTCCCAGTACTCAGTGCTGACTCCATCTTTAAGACTTCCATAATCACAGCCAAGTAGATTCTTATGTTAGGGAGCCCTTGATTTTTCGCAAAAGACATCTCAACTGTGGTTGATCTCCCATCCTCTCCTCCCCTCCCCCCTCTTTTGTTTTTTTCCCCCAAGTACTGGGGCTTGAACTTCTCTTCCATTTTCTAAGGTACCAAGAAGCACTGTCCTACCTGGTATATGCCTACCAGAGCAATGCTGCGCTGCTAATGAAGGGGCCCCGCAGGGGGGTGAAGGAGTCGGTGATCGCGTTATACCGGAGAAAATGCCTTCTGGTGTGTATCATTTGTAAAGCCTGTGTGTGTGTGTGTGTGTGTGTGTGTGTGTGTGTGTGTGTGTGTGTGTGTGCGCGCGCGCGCGTGTGTATGTGTGCGTGGGTGTGTGTGCATGTGTCTGTGCGCACGTGTGTGTGCGCGTGTGTGCATGTGTGTGTGTGCGTGGGTGTGTGTGTGTGTGCATGTGTATGTGTGCGTGGGTGTGTGTGCATGTGTGTGCGCACGTGTGTGTGTGCGGATGTGTGTGCATGTGTATGTGTGCGCGGGTGTGTGTGTGTGTGTGTGTGTGTGTGTGCAGGTGTGTGTGTATCTCTGCTTGCCCTTTGAAATCACGTTGAGATGTAACAAACAAAATATCTCTAACACATTTTAGATTTTTTCCAAACTCTCAGGGGCAGTTCTACATTGGGATAGGTTCTTTTACCTTACTTTAAGTGAGCATCATTTTTGTCAGCCCCTGAGAGTGGAATCAGCTGTTCTTTCTCTTTGCCCTTCCTGTGTTCCTGCATTACCACTTTCACCACATTGCTTCTCTACCACGTTGTGAGTTGACTGAGCCTAGCTCCTCGTCTTACTCAGCTGTCTCTTCTAGGTCTGGCAGGAAGTAAGCTTGTAATGAATACATGTTCAAGGAATCAGGATTTTCCCGTGTTCCCTACTGTGCTAGTAGCATACGATGTACATGTAAGCAACTCCAGTTTTATAAAAAGGTTACAAAACACGAGCACTGGCCCTGCTGTCCTCTTAACATCTTGTCACATATCAGCGAAGGCTGGACCTACCCTGCCCCATTTTGCGTTTGGCAGCCACATGGAGAAGGAAAGGCAAATGTAATCCATGTTGTGCTTGTCCTTCAGAGAACTATGAAGAGACAGCAGATTGTGTGTGCACTTGTGTTTATTTGCCCTGACACTCAGCAGATTTGGCTGTCCCAGGGGAAGTCAGTCATCATTTTCACCACTGTCTTGGTCTTTTTAATACCAAATGGAAGCTGTAAGTCATGATGTACGTTGATCGCAACAGCTTTGTTTGTGATTTACACTTTGACTTCTGTGTCAGTTACAGGCGTGGCAGAGCTACCTTGAAGCTGAAAAAATGCATTGTAGATTTGCTGATGTGAATTTTATTAGAGCCATGCTTTTACATTTTAAATCGCCAAATACAGATGGACAACTTGAATATCTTATCTCCCACATAGTGCAGTAATGGGGACGATGTAGTCTTTTCATCACTGGTTCTTAAACTGCAGTGTGTATCAGAATCAGGAAGGGAGCTTTGAAACAGTGGCAGTGCCCAGGCCCCTCCTCAGACGGTTTAACGGCGTATCTGGGGAGGGCTTGCGCATCAGTTTGTCTCCTGCAGGTGATTATGAATAGGTCTCCTGGTTAAGCATGAATCTGACTGTAAGTTTAGGCCAGTGGGTCACAAACTTGGCTGCATTAACCTCACTGGGAGCCTTTATAAAATCTCGATGCCCGGGTCACCACACCCTAATTAATTCAGCATATCTGGGGTTGAACTGGGTTTCCGTGGTTTTTATTTTTTTGGTGAGACTGGGATTTGAACTTAGGACTTCAGCACTTGCAAAGGAGGCTTTCTACCACTTGAGCCACATTTCCAGTCCATTTTGCCGTGGTTTATTTGGAGATAGAATCTCCTGAGTTATTTACCAGGACTGGCGTTGAACCTTGGTCAGCCTGCCAAAGTAGGTAGGATTATAGGTGTGAGCCACTGGCGCCTGGCCATCAATGGTTTTTGAAGTTTTCTAGGTGATTCTGATGTACAGTCAAGTGTGGGAAGCACTTGTTTAGACTTTTATTAAGTGGATACTTATCTTTTTGAGCATTTTTCTCCCCCTATTCTGCTTCTTGTCTGTAGGAACTGAATGCCAAAGCAGCTTCTCTTTTTGAAACGAATGATGACCACTCTGTAACAGAGGGTATTAATGTGATGAATGAGCTGATCATTCCCTGCATTCACCTGATCATCAATAATGACATCTCCAAGGATGATCTGGATGCAATTGAAGTCATGAGAAACCATTGGTGCTCTTACCTCGGGCAAGATATTGCAGGTATGTTTAGCACTTCTCATCATTTCTAGGGTTTTGTAAATTCTAGAAGTTACAGTGGTCTCCCTTAGTATGGGTCACCAAAGTCCTTAGGGGATTGGAATTCCCCAACCTATATATGAGTTAAATGGGTCTATTATGTGGAAACTAGGGGTGAAAGCCTGGGCTCTGCTACTTTTTTTTCTTTCTTCTGCTTCCTTTTTTTTTTTTTTTTGTGATACTGGGGTTTGAACTTAGGGCCTCACACTTGGCTCTACCACTTGAGCCACTCTCCCAGCCCTTCTGCTACTCTTAACCTCTGCTCACCTCCTCTGGCTGCTGCAGCACTTCCATGGGCGACCCCAGCAAGTTCTTTTTGAGAACAGACACTGCAACTTCCATTACTCTCTTATCTGCTGAAATAAACAAAAAACACTTTTGTAGTTTAAAAGTCAAAATCTGTTTATGCAGAATATGATTACTACCTGATGGTGCCTTAACTAAATTTTCCTATGACTCAAAGTTGCAAAACATAAGAATATTATTAATTGTGATAATGTCCAGATTAATAAATCAGTACATGGAATATTCTTGCTTATCAAATCTTCTTGGGGAGGGAGCCTGAAGCCAGATATTTTTAGGCCAGTCCAATACACTTGGAAGGTTGGTGTATATTCTGATATGAATCCTCTTTGTTAGTTTCTTACTGATGTAAAGTTAGTCCAGTGACATATTTAACTGTTCAAGTTTATGGTATTTATTGATATTCTATAGGCAGTTGCTATGTATTTCCTTTTAATGTCTTCAGCCTTCATTTAGACAAAGTGTGTCATATAGCTTTACTTAATACCTGGTGTACAGTGGTGTATTTTAAGCGTAGGAAAAAAACCACCAATATAGGTATGGTACATAGTATCATATCCACTTTCTCAAATTTTAAAAGGATGATCGATTAGAAGCCCTATCTACAATACAATTAATATGTACCATTACTCTACTAACATCAGCTTTAAGCAGTGTCCTCAAGCTTTGGTGTATTTGGCCAGTAGGTCTTTGTTCCTGGTTGGCCTAAGGGACTCATCATTTGTTGTTAGCCAGCTATCATCATGGTTTGATCTTTGAGGTTGGGTAATGGGCAGTTTGAAGGCATTCCCAGTTAGTTGTGGGTTTACCAGTTCTTACTCAGAGATCCAGTTATCTGTATATATAACCCTCTCCTTCTCTACAGAAAATCTGCAGCTGTGCTTAGGGGAGTTTCTACCCAGGCTTCTAGATCCTTCTACAGAAATTATCGTCTTGAAAGAACCTCCAACTATTCGTCCCAATTCTCCCTATGACCTTTGTAGCCGATTTGCAGCTGTCATGGAGTCAATTCAAGGAGTCTCAACTGTGACAGTGAATTAAACCCCTCGTGTTCAAGATCCTGGTCTCTGCTACCTGTTGCACAGCAGTCTGTTGTTATGGTATTCACCTGGGGAGAGGTATTAGGTAAACAAGTAAGATTCAGATCCATACCCCCATCCATGCCGTTTAAAGGAGGATTAAAGATAAAATTGCACTTTTTAAGTACAGAATCATGAAAGTTATTTACTAGAAAAGGCAGGGGGCATTGTGTTGAGGTATTTAATTGTGCCAGAAGACCTGAAATGCCTTTGAACCTTCCTTATGCTTGGGCTTTTCTAAGCCTTTTGCCACTTTTTAAATTATCCTTCAGGCATAAATATTTGACAGCAGAATAGAAGTGATTCATCAGAACCTGAACCAGATGAATAGCTCTTAGTGATTTTATCAAATGCAGGTGACATTTAAATACTCTTAACTACTAGAGATTAGTAATAGAAACATAGCCTAGCTCTTGACAGGCGATGATAAAATGACTTGTTGATGAACCTCTGCCCTTTACATGTGGGTGGAACATAAGATCACATAGCAGTAAGAAGCTGAGAAGTCAAAGGAAGGCTGAGTCTCTTTCGTTCTTCTCTTCTAGATCTCTAAACAAACCAGAAAACCTCACAGTCAGTCTGAGTGAAAGAAAGGAAAGTACTGAGGACTTTCAACAGAATAGCATTGTGAAGCTTGACTAACGATAGCGTTTTAGTCGTTAACCATTTAGGCAAAATTTTCCAGATATCTGAAAATTGTCAAAAACAGGTGTCTAAGGCTACTTCTGGCCAAATACATTTTGATTCCCTTTTCCTTTTTTTGATTTTAAGAAATAAGGGATGTGGATTTGTAAAAAGAAAATAAAATCTATATATATATATATATATATATGTGTGTGTATATATAGAGAGAGGAAAAAACCATTTTTAAAGACTCCTAATTGGGAATTAACATTTTAACCAAATTTTAAAGGTTAATGGAGAAATCATGGGAGGGAAAAACACTTGATACAACTATGCAGATTTTATAAATGTGCAATAAAAGGATTTGTTTTACCTTTGGTGTGTAGTGTGGCCCTTATTTAAATCTATATTTTCAGTCTGGTGGAGTGGCTCAAGTGGTAGAGCACCTGCCTAGCAAGTGTGAGGCTCTGAGTTCAAACCCCAGTACTGCCAAAAAAAAAAAAAAATCTATATTTTTGTTTTGGAAATGGATGGACTAAGTAAGCATTTGTCTTGTTTCAGTGTTTGTCTGTTAAAAGAAAAAGGCAGATTAAGGGTTGAGAAAGTTGATATGCATGGAGGTGTCAGCATTTGAGTTCTGAGCAGCGCCCAGTGGTGACTGACATCTTATTCATTTGCCACTGGTATTGCATGTAAATGTATTCACTTTGGAATTTGTCAAGTTTTAGAATGCAAAAATTGATTTTCTTAAAACTGAGCTTCTTGTATTTTGACTGTTAGTGGTAGGCCATCTCTTCAGGTATTTTGGAGTCCTTTTGTATTTTAAAGCTTGTTGCAGAGATTTCTTTCAAGGGAAGTTGAGCAGTTTTCTTACCCATTTTGTTTAAATGATATATACCCTATTTTTTCTTTCACTTCTTAATCCCTGTAATTACTGAATAATGTACACAGTGCTTCATTTACATTATTTCACTTCATGTGACGACCGGGATGGCAGTAGGAACTGTCGTTTGTCTCCGTGTGTCTGTCTTCATAGCCTGTGCCTTTAACAACTACTTGACTGTCTTTGGCAGTCTTATAAAAGATTTTGCTTTATCCTTTCTCCACGTTATTTCCCTGTCAGCTGTTGGGAAACCACACATGGCAAAGAAAGGCACAGGTGGACTGTGGATGGATGTCTGTGGCGTACACAGATGAGCAGTCACCAGGGGGAGTACTGAGAACTAATTTCTTTTTCCAACGTAGCTGTCTGCCTTTAGTTAGGGATGGCCTTATTTTTTCAGGACTCCACAAACTAAGGTCTCATACTGCTTTTTTTCTTTAAGAAAACAGTAAGAATGGTTTTGCCTTATATTTTTCAGGACCCAGTTTTTCTATGTATGTAGCCCAGGTGGTCCTCAAACTGGGCTATTCTCCTGCCTTAGAGTCCTAGGTAACTAGAATTACAGGCGTACTTGGTTTTGATTTTCAAAGGGTTGGGAAAAGGGAGGATGAGGGGAAAGAGAGCATGAGGAGGAGGAAATAACCCATGTGGTGCTTACCTAAAATGATTCAAGAGTTTGAGTAGGATATTTCACCACAGCATAAATGTCCTGGAGACTGGATATAGATTTTCCATAGTTAACTGGAATTGCAATCCTATTTTATTTGGATTTGTTAATTCCTTTAAGAACTTATGGACTGGAGGTGTAGCTCAAGTAATAGAGTGCCTGCCTAGCAAGCACAGGGCCCTGAATTCAAACCCTAGTATCACCCAAACTACAGTGAAACAAATAGCTAGGAGAGGGGCTGGTGAAGTGGCTCAAGTGGTAGAGCATCTGCTGAGCAAGTGTTGAGGCCCTGAGTTCAAACTCCAGTACCACCCCCCCCCAAAAAAAAAAAGCTAGGAGGCAATTAAATTCATTTTTACCATACACACTTCAAGGAAGAAATGTAGGTGGATTAAAAACAGTAAAATTAGTTAATGAGCAAGTAGCAAGGACTGAATTGAGAGCCGGGGTGTACCATGATAGGCTGCCTGAACAGTGTAATTTCCAATTGTTCATATCCCATCAATATGTTTGGTATTTTTAATCTTATCCATTCTGCCAGATGTGCCATGATGTCCCATGGCTTTAATTTGCATTTCCCTGCATGTTAACAGCCATTGTTTCTTTTTCTTTTTTCTTTTTTTTGACATAGGGCCTGCCTCTGTAGTCCAGGCTGGCTTCGAACTCCTGATCCTCCTGCCTCAGCCTCCTGAGTGATACAGGCCCATTGTTCTTTGTGAAAAATATATTTAATTCCTTTGCCTATAATTTATTGTTATTTAATATAACATATTGTCTTTAGTGATTTCTGTGAGTTCTTTATATCTTCTGGTGACAGTTATATGCATTGCACCTATCTTTTCCTGGCCTATGACTTTTAACTTTTGGTACCTATTGACTGAAAAAAAAAATCGATATTAATGTAATCCAGTTTACCAGTTTTTTCTTCATGATTTGTGCTTATTTTGCCTGTTGAAGAAATTACCAAATCTCATGTTATCCTGTAGAAATGTTATTGTTTTCCTTTCACATTTAGCTGATTGACCCAGCACTATTTGTTGAAAACATTCCTTTTCTCAGTGCTGTGTACAACTACATTTCTCATAGATCAAGTGTCTGTGTCCTGTTTCCCGACACATTTGTCTTTTCCACCAGACAATTTGTGTACCCGTATCAGTATCAAACTTAGTGTAGCTTTATAATAATTTGTGATTTCCAGTGCCATAAATTCTCCACTTTTGAACTTCTTCAGGATTGTCTTGGATAATCTTTTTATTGTTGTTTTTTGGTTTTTTGAGACAGGGTCTCCCTTCAGCTCAGATTGACCTTGAACTCAAGACCATCCAGCCTGAGCCTTGTGAGTGCTGGGTTTGCAGGTGTGTGCCATCACACTCCGTTCTGCCTTGGTTAGTCTTAACCATGTACATGTCATGTAAATGTTAGGGCCAGTCTTCAGTTTCACACCAGCACACACAAACCCAGGAATTCTGGTTAGGTTTCCAGTGACTAGATAATTTGGGATAAAGACATATGCTAGTGTCAGTTGATATCTGCCAATGGACAGTTACAGGCTTTGTCTGATACATTGAGACCTTAATTTCAGTATAAAAGTCACATCTTCCAAAAAATACATTCCCAGGTTTTTTATGTTTTTCAGGCTGTTGTAAATGTTATGTCACTTTAAAAATGGTAATTCTTTACTGTTTCTAGCTGGTACCTAGAAATAAATTGATGATTTTATATCAACCCTGTATCTTAGTAACCTTGATCAAATAACTTATTCTAATAGTTCATCTGGATTTTTTTTTAAGATTTCCTCTATAAACAATTGTTATCTATTACTGATGATTTTTTATGTCTTTATTTTTAAGTTGAGTCTTTCAAATTTTATTTGTTTCTTGCCTGATCACTCATACATACTAGGATTGTTGGTACAATGCCGAATTAAAAAGGTGAAAAATGAGACTCTTTACTCCATAACGTCAGGAAGGAAACTTTTCAGTATTTCACCATTAAGTATAATGTAGGATTGTTGTAAATTCCACTTACTAGATAAAGATCCATCCTAGCTTGCTGAGAATTTATGTTTGTTTGGCAGTACTGGAGTTTAAACTCAGGGCCTTGCCCTTGCTAGGCGGGTGCTCTACCATTTGAGTTTACTTTTCAGCTAGGGTCTCATTTGTTTGTCCAGGTCAGCCCTGACTTATGCCTCCCACGTAGCTGGGTGACAGGTACATTGCTGCCACACCCAGCTTTTTTGTTGAGATAGGATCACACCAACTTTTTGCTTATGCTGGCCTGGAACCAAGATATTCCCAGTGTCTACTTCCCAAATGGCTGGGATTATAAGCATGACCCATTGCTCCTTGTAAGATTTCATATTTTAAACCACTCACACATTGTAAGAGTAAACTGAATTTGATCCCGACTTTTTAATGAATGGGTGGAATTTTCTTTAGTATTTCTGCATGTGTGTTCATGAGAGAGATTGGACTTCGATTTTATTTTCTTGTAATGTGTTTGTCATGATTTTGGCATCAAGTTATTTTTGTCTTATTGAATTGGTAAATGATCTCTCATCTTCTATGTTCTGCAAGAGTTTGGATAAAACAGAGTTCTTACTCCCATAGTGTTTGAGAGAATTCATCATTGAAGCCATCTCTGCCTAAAATTGTTGTCATTATTTGTGTGTTTTGTAGGAATGCTTCTAAGTATAGATTCAGTTTCTTTCATTTATATTGAGATTTAGATTTTTTTTTATTATTTCCTCTGGCATTTATTTTGGACAGTTATTAAAATCTTTCCATGTCATCTAAAATTAAAATTTTATTGACAGGCTGGGGGCATGGCTCAAGTGGCCCACACAAGGCCCTGAGTTCAAACCCTAATACTGTCAAAAAAAAAAAATTATTGACAGGAACTTTGGCATCTTGTGGAGTTTGTTTTTGTTTTTGTTTTTGTTTTTACTGACTAGGATTTGTAATGATGTCTCCTTTTCACTACTGATACTGAGTGACTTCTATCTTCTCACTTTTCTTTTTGGTTACTATCTTCAGGGGGTTTATTAATTAGTCATTTCAAAGAACCACAGTTTACTTTGTTTATTTTTCTCTTGTAAATTTCCTCCTTTTTTAATCCACAACTCTGCAGTGGTTCTTAATTTTGGCTGCCAGTGCAGTCAGCTGTGTCACTTTAAAAAACACAGCTGCCAGGCCTTGACCCTGCAGATACTGACTTGGGTTTAATCAGGGACCTTGATGCTTTTATGTTTAAAAAGCATCACAGGTAATTCTTCATAGAATCTTTGTACCTAAAGAAAGTGACTTTTATATTGTCATCAACACTCTGAAGTCTGTGGTTTTATAAAAGGTGTGCATCTCCTTCAGTGAGAGCTTGCAGGTTTCATAATTTTTATTTATCTTCTGCATGTTTTTCATGCTAAATTTGACTTTGATAGAGATATAGGAAACTATCACTTTCTGTAAATTAACCTTTCTAAAGTTACTATAAATACATCAGTTCCTTAAGATTTATTTTACCACTTCAACTTGTGAGCTACTTCACTCATTACATTATTACCTTTTCCTGAGCCTGTAAACAGCTCTCCACATTATATTTTTAAGTTGTTGAATAATAAACTACACATTAATCTACAAGTCTGTCAGAATGGAAGCAGTTTAAGAGGCATTTTAGTGACGTTTCTAAGCCTTCCTTACAGCACAGTTGATAGCTGCATTGCTTACTAGGTTGATGGCTGGTTATAATGACCCTCAACTACCTTGTT